GTTATGGTCAGGCCTCCAGGGCTCTAGCAACTCCTGTCCTGCCTTTTTGCCGGTTAGCGCCACTGTCCGCTGAATCGGATTCGTGTTGCGCCTCGAGTGTGGGGGCGGGTCGCATCTCCAAACGGCCCGTTTTGCTTGAATATTGGAGAGCAGAGGTGGTAACGCCGTAAGCCGAGAACTACCTGAGTCGTTGTTTTCAAGTCTTCGGTCAATTAACGGGCGCAATGAACCCCTCCCCCCCCTCCATATTCTGCGCGAAGGCTTTGTATAGGCAAAACAGTTACAGTAAGTGGGCTATGTCATGAAATCTCAAAAGAAATTCCGAAACGCGTTTCCGTTTCGAAAATATTAATTAAGTAGGGTTGTAAAACCAAACATCGTGCAGCACAATTCTATAATAATTCAGTTGCCCCAGGACGTCTGCTTCCGAACGAAGTTCTTCTTGGCTACATTTAGAAACCATACTCAGTTAAAACGAATACTTACGCAGCATGCCTTTTTTCATTGATTTTCGACGCCCTTAAAGATTCCATTATATTTCATGGGAAATATGCACCAACATATTCATTCTCTCGCTCATTCGGTAGAAAATTGCGCCTTCCATTAATTTTGCTTTCGAAGGAAGGGTAAGATTTGGTTTTACGAAACTATTCCAATTTCCGAATAATTTTGAACCCATCCCGCCGCTATAATTGCATTCAGGGTTCCCAAACTACAAGCCGTATAATTACCGCGTACGGAAAACCGTACCTTTTCATACGGTAATAAAGGGGGACCATGTATGGTTCATATAATTAAGCAGTGGATTTGAGCTGCATTTTTAACTTTACAAGCCACATTAGCAAATGCAGAGACATGACGTTTTATGAAGGGTCATTTCACGGTATTAAAAAATCTCACAATTAGAAACCTTTTTAAAACGAATTATACCCATCCTTCGAGTGTAAAATTGAAAGAAGACGTAATTTTCTACTGAATAAGCAAAAGAATGAATATTTTTGTGCATGTTTTCCATGAAATATAATGGAATTTTTAAGGGCGTCGAAAATCAAAGAAAAAAATGCATACTACGTAAGTAGTCATTTTTACGGGGTTTGGCTTTTAGATGCAGCCAAGAAGAAGTTTGTTCGAAAGCGGCGTCCTGGGGTTACTGAATGATTATAGAATTGTGCTGCACGATGATTGGTCTTGCAAAACTACTAAATTAATCTATTCCAAGAGGAAACACATTTCGGAATTTCTGCTGATATTTCATGAGTTAGCCCACCTACTGTAGCTCCTCGGAAGGCTCACGGATGACGACTGTTCCTAGTGCCGGAACCCCCCCCCCCTCTCCCCCCATGTATGACGGACTCCTCGCAATTAGCAACTGGACAGCGGGCAAGTAGGAAAGTATCACACCACATGCAACCACCTGCGACGAATGTGGGGGCTGATAATTGTGTCAGGCATACCGGTGCAAAACTGCTTCATCCTGCAACACCGGGCTAGTCGGACAAATATCGCACCACCTGCAACTTCCTCCAATGCATTCGGGAGCTGCTAATTTTGAAAGACATGCAGTGACGTAGCAGTTAAAACCTATAAGGACTGTAAAACTTGTACGAATACCTATCCTTGCCTGGTTCTGTCTCTGAGGATGGATTCGAGCGAGGACCAGAACTGTCAGACTAATATAGTTCTTGTTGCATCCATCATGTCTCCTACTTCGAGAGTTCCCTAAGCCAGTTCTTTGGGCACTATCGAGGTTGCCATGAAAACTGATGATCTGGAATGTGCTAATTCTCTTCAATACCTTGTGGTGATAAATTCGCTGTGAGATCTGCGCATGACGAGAGCGTCTATGACGGACAACTGACTGGACATATCATCTGTTATATCCCCCAGTAGTACGACGATGGGTCTCTGTGGAATTGACTACAGACAAGATAGCAGAGCATAGCTTTACTGAGACGGTTGCTGGACGTACATCAACTCTCAATCCTTCTGTCCGTGGTTTCCTACTTCAGACTTCTGCCCTTGTCTGGTTTTCGTGTTCCTACTGGTCCAGCTCTGAGCGCCCGCATGGGCAGACCCTCGCGTGTTGTCGGCCCCTGAAGGTCACGGCATAACTCCGCGACGCGCTAATTGCTGACTCACGCGCGGATTTGCTAGGCGAGACTGATGTGAGGGCTCATGGTCCTTTGTCAGGCGTGACAGCCGGACAACAAGCACGTGCTGTACTGTCCTAACGCTCTCCTCCTGTTGTTTTAATGAAGAAGCACTTTTGGTGCGCGGACCTGGGATGCTGAAGGCGTAACTACGTGTCGGCGAAGATGGCCCGTTGCCCCCAGCGTACCGTAACGCTCACAACAATCTCCCTTTCTACGTCGGCACCTCCCTCGGCCCTCCCCTGCAGTTGCCCGCAGAGCTGCGTTCCCCACCGGCTGTTTAGCTGGCATACCAGTATCGCCTCTCCATCCGGGCAGGTTACTGTCTTGTTGTATCTCATCCCGTTTGTGCAGTTAATTACTATTATATGTATTCCCAATTTCCGTCCTTTCCCAGTATACCTTTTGCCTAACTTACGTTTCTTCTTCTCTTGCGTATGGATGAGTATTGCAACATGTTCACGGCTCTGTTCAGATCGGACGCAGGCAGGATCTCTTCCCAGTCCTTCGCTACCTCGGTGTGTGCTATCCTTGACGTCCACGGCCGCTACAAATCGTTATAAATTGAATGCCAGGGAAAATGTTTAGTTGTCCGTGAAAACCTACCAGTCTGCCCTCCCAGTTATAAAAAATCGTGTCGTCTACGTATCAGGTCGAAGTGCAGGTTCGCAGTAGTTGAAAGCCATGCTCGCCAGTTATTGTAGGATCAAGTCCGTAACTGGGCTGGAGATTGGACAACCTATCGGAGATCCCCTACTCCACTTTGCGTTCCGATCGATGAATGCTACGAACACGTCACCGACAATGTCTCAGACAGCAGTCCAGGGCAGTTTTAGCCTATCGTTCAGTGGGAAGCTAGCCGGACTAACGGTTGTTCGAGAGTCCAGGTCTTCGCCGCATGCGATCAAGGCATGATCGACTGGTAACTACAAAGAGGTCAGAGTCAAATAATCCCATGGTAGTCAACCTGCATCACTCAAATGACGCATTCGACTGTGGAAGAGCATAATCAGACGGAGTTGGCTTGATGCAAAGGATGTAAAAACCATATTTCTTCGAGGAAGAGTAACTGTTCTGGATGGCGTTTTAGTCAAAAGTACGCAGTGGAACAGACATCCATGGGTCTCGCAACAGAGCCGTTCTTGAAACCCCAAAATATTCGGTAAGATGTGGTTATGTAGCCCCACCTGACGGGCACAATACCGTTGGGGCTAGAGCAACTACTTTTCAACCACTCGAAGTACAACCGCTCATTCCAAATAGCTTTTCTTTTACATACAACTACTTGATCTCGTCGCCTGTGCGTTCCCAAGTCCCACGTGTAAAAATCCCTAATACCACCGGTCCCGTATTACAGGTGGCTGGGGGTTGTTTACTTCAGATGGGGCTACAGAAACAAATCTGATCAAATATCCCCAAAAGAATTTTCGGAGGACTAACAAAGTCTGGTTTTCGGTATGACGGGCTGACAACAGCCAGAAATAGATACCCAAGTCTTTCTTATCGTTGTCGGTACTCCTTCACTGCAGATATTACTCATCACTCTGCGACTTCTCGTGTGGGACCCTAGACTGCGCGCAAAGCGCAAAGCGACGAGAGCTACCGCAACCAGATCCGTGAACGGCTTTCCCGCGAAAGTTAGTATTTCGGATCACAACTCAGGGGACAACGGGTCGTGGCTCAGTGGCAGAACGAATGGGATCCCGGCCACCACAACCTTCAGGCCCGGTCCCGAATGGAAAGAGAAGATGGAGGCCAGTTGGGAAGCTTCTATATTCTGTACAGAATAACTGGAGAAGGGACCAGAGAGAGTTGGCCGCCGGATGAGCGTACATCAGGTGCAGAGAGAGCGGCGTCCCAAGTCCGGCAAGGAATGCGTCAAATCGTCTTAAGACAGCGCACGCCTGACTCGACCTTGAATCTGATTGGTTGTTTGAAAAGCCGAGTGGGCGAATAGCAGACAGCCCTGGTGCGCACGTACAGACACTCGCGAGAGGCCCAGCGTTGGGACAGGCGCTCGGGGTAGAACCACTACATACAACTTGACGCTCGGTGACAAATGAGCCCGGGTTTGAACCTCAGGTTCCCCCCTCCCCTCCCCAAAAAACCTTTGGTTGTTTTCTACTAGCTAATGACAGTTAATAAGTCAGAAATGAATATCTCGTGGGTGTTCTATTTTGACAAAACCTCCGCCAAATTTGTCATTCGAAAGTCACACTCGCTTTCCCGAACGGTCGTGATCATCAAACGGCAGTCATCAGGGATTTACGCGCCATTGTGTCCCAGAATCAGCACGCATGTTGGCTACTTTTACAGAAGTTAAAGATGACGTCTACCGAATTTAAATTAGACTAAACGAGAGAGCGAAAGAGAGAGAGAGAGAAGACGTACTAGGTCTTTCCTGTGCAAACCCAGCCGGTCCAAAATCTGTCGCTCGCCCAAGAAACCGACCAAGGCTGGATTCGCATTATTTTGGTTACTTTTGAAAGCTCATAGAAATGGTTTAAACACCGTGCCAGGACTGGCAAAAGTCTGGTATGCAAAAGAGGCGAACATGAGGGCAGGGTGAAGTGTGAGTGGCCATGAGTATGCGAATCGGGCTTGGGTGTTGGGTGAGCAAGACTAACGGGGTCCTGCATACAAGTGGGTGCGGCATTATCACAGCAGCGAAGCAGCATGCGTTAGACGATGATGACAGGTTTGTGTTTGTGTGGAGTTCCCATGTAGACGTATCGACGGCATCGTGAATGAGGTACATAGTGGAGAGAGTGGTAAGGTGGGGGTTGGGGGGAGAGGAGGAACAAGTTGGGACAGCGGGTGAGACTTTCAGTGACACTGCTGCCCTCTCCTCTAATTAGCATCCAAATCGGAATCTGTAGTGTTTGCATCCGAGAAGGGCTTCTTCCGTTCAGCGGAGAAGTACTCAATTCGGGGCTGGTGCCTCTTCTCCTTTGCGTGAGACGCGAGTTGTTTATAGGAGCCATAGTGTGGCAGAGTTGAGGAGGCTCCCGGCCTCGAGAGAGAGCGATTGGAGGAGTAGGGGGTACCTTTGCTGCTTGACCTCATGTTTTGACTAAAATTTACGCAAAAATATTCTTATTCTACCCGCATACAAAAGGGTTTGTTAGCCAGGACTTTCAGCATTCCCTCCAGGAAGTTATATGGTTGTTAGTCCTCTTTGAAAATAAGTAGCTGAAACAATTGTTTGTGGGGGAGGGCGGAGGGGGTTGGTGGGGCAGATTTTTGAGACAAGCACATTCACGGATTAACGTTTGGGCCTGCTGTTTCTAGTTCGCCTGTAACATACGAACATCTGAACACTAATTTCAATGACTTCCAAGGTAATTGGCCTTGTTTCCGATAAACTTTATTGGCTACTTGGGCTGAACCGATTTCTGCTTACCATCTGATTGGTCAGCATGAGATAAAGGTTATTTACTTGACTGATGGAGGTCCAGTTAACCTACTGGATGGTTGAGCTGCCTGGTAGATTATCGTCTTAATTCCCCCCCTCCGTCACAATAAATATCAAATCGTCTCTAATGTACCTCACTGTTAATCGCCCTAAACTCACTATGAATTGGAGTGAATGGTGCTAATAGCTCAAGGGTTGATATGCCGGAATGATGTCGATGTGTCGGCCTACTGGACTCCCATCTGAGATTCGCGGCAAAAGACAGACCATCAGATAGAGCACTTTCCCGTCTTGCGTGACATCGGAGATTACCACTTTATCTGCAGCCGAAAGTCCCTATTTCCCCTCTGTCCTTTTGAAGCGCCCAACTGCAATCCGGACGGCTGGAATGAGAGCCAGTTGAACCATCACAAAAAACGACCTGCACTGCATCTCTCTGGGTGGCCTCTATGCGCCCCAATTAGTTTGTAGTAGGACGGACTTGCACCGCATCTACCGCGCATTCTGCTCCCTCGCACATCCTACGATGATAAAACAATGCCTTGTTTAAAGTCGGGGGAAATTTATGCGCAAACTTGTAGTAAATTCATCGGAACAGACCTTTACAGGCTCGGTCCGAAATTTGATATGAATTATTGGACTGAAATCCATCAGCTACTGCGGAAAAACCACGTAATTCTCCCAAACCGCCAGTAGTATACGACTGTGTAATTATTTTCCATACTGAAAAGGTTTATTCCGAAGAATTTACTCCAAGTTCGCGCCTCAAATCCCTCGAAATTAAACAGGGGAAGATTAAACTGGCGTTTACATGTCGAAAAACACTCAGGAAGGCTGGGGGGACCCACTAATGAGGCATACCCCTCGCAGCTGCGTTGGGCAGCGCATAAAATCGGCGAGACGCGCGTTTCTGGGATTTTAGCTTGTACTTGTGTTGTGAGTACGATAGATAATTACACGAATGATGAAACAATGCCAGAACGAACGGAGGCGGGGTAGGACGCGGTGATTGACAAGGGTAAACAGCCTAACCGCAATAATTGCGACCCGGACCTCGCATCGGTGATGATGCTCTTGAGGCCACATTTAGAAGGACTCGCTGTATCTTGACTCTCCGACCTGTGAGTGACCGAACCTTCCGTCAACTGCCAGCCTTGAAAGCCACTATTTTATCGCATCATGATAGATAAGTGAACATCAGATTTATTTTTTTCTGTGCGAAACGCACTGATGTGCCATGAGATGGATTCTCACGTTTCGTTCTCATTTGAATATGAAAACTCACAGCTCAGGAGGCGTGCCAAATAGACCTATTCCAGTTTATTATGCACTTATAAGGTCCTAGTACACGCTGCCCGATGATTTTAAGGCAGCATAGCAATACTGGAAGTTTTAAATTGTCGGAGAATGTACCCCGTGTCTGTTTCTAACTTTTAACGCATTCTTACTAACGGTCAATTTCAAATGCCCAGTTCGTATCCGTCACTTATTTAACGGTGAGCACTCGGCATGAAAACGAAATGTGTTCTACCTCTCCTTGTGAACTCTCTTTTTCCTTTCGACATACTGTCTTCGCACCACATTTCCATTACTGACGGTTTATATTTTATGATACTGCAAACTTTCAGCAAAACCGCGGGTTCACGTTAAAACCACTGCAGAACATTAGGAAGAAAACAGGGACGCACACACTGACAAAATTGTGATGCTAAAGTGTTACTTACACAACAAGAGTAGACATTTCATTTTATAGACGATAAATTGAGACCAGCTTTTGGCAAAAAGGTCCTCCAGGGGTTGAGTCCCCTCGTAACCTAGTCACGCAATAAAGGTTGAATAACCATAACCGTTGCTCTCTGCGCACTCTACAAATAGAAGTGAATATGCGAGTCCCAGGTTCTTGTTGCAAAGAAGATGAACGCGCAATCACTGGGACAGTACACTCATCAGCCTGTGAGAAGGCAATGCCAAATGAACAGTTTTGCAGCCACAAAAAGGGGGGGGGTGTTGGGGTGAGGGGGATGGTGTTCACAATAAGGCTGAGTCCACGCCGTCGAGACGGCGTGCGCCACTAGCTGGGAATTGGGTCGCGCCACTTGGCCGCAAGAAGGAAGCGCGCGTTAGCAGGGGGTATATTGACGTGTCCGCTGATGGACTTGGTGTCAGACACCCAGGAATCCCTCAGTCCTCGCCCTGTTTTATAACTGGCTCGCACCATCATTCCGTGTACTCGCGAAGTTGAACTCGTGGCCTTGCCCTTGGGTGCGAGTAGCGACCTGTAACAGTGAGTCGCCGTCACGACGCCGTGAACTCAGCCTTATCGCGAACGTCACCCCCTTCACCGAACAAATTTCCGCATCTTATGATAGGTCTGCGAACGGCAGTCGTATTCGTTAAGTGGTAAATCGAGATCAAGTCTTTTATTTACTTGGATGGTAGAATGGGAGTTAACGATATGGGTGGTAGCAGGCGGAAAATGGCGTAACCGATAGACCAAATCGGGTCAGTAGTAGCCTGGGTATCAGTTAAATATCTTGCATGACTGGTTTGTTTGTTTTAGCTTATTTACTCCAGTGTCGCTTGTAATACACGAGTACGGAGTAACGGTGGTTAGAAAGACAGTAAGTAGATTGACCATGCAGCGGAAAGTTCTTGGGAGGAATGCCAAAAAGCGAACGGTAAGTTGAGAATGCATGCACCAAGAAGTAGCTCGGAGGTACGTGGAAGAGGCACTCCAAAACCGACAAAAACTCCGAGGTTTACTAAGGCGAAAATGGTGAATCGGTAGGAAAAGGAAGATGCGGTCGGTGTAGTGGGAATCCCACTCACTTAACGGCCTCATATTAGAGTGCTGAATGTACAGGAGTCTCAGTATAGGAGTCAGTTGCCATGCGACCGCTTACTTACCATAATTGGCAGCCCCCACATTCATCAACGGTGGACGAAATCGGTGGGATCATTGCTCGCTCGTCAGCATCGGTGTTGATTAGTGGCCTGACAGCTACTCAGCCCTTCGGCTCACTGGTACTGACGCCGGAAGCTGTGCTCACTCCGCCACCCCGGCCACTTTGCCGCACCTGCATCAGACCCCTCAAACGACTTCAGACGTTACCTGACGTGGCAATGGGTCTTTCGGTCACTTTGCCCGTCGTCTGTGTAACTCCAAATCCAGGGGGCCGTTATAAACAGGGAAAGCAATCGTTGGACCAATTACGACCACCGACGGTGAATACAAGAACTGCTAATTATGGTATGTACGCGGTAGCATACCAAATGTGTCCCGTAAATAGTGCACATATCGTCCGTTCAGTACCATTATCTGCGACCGTCTCTGATTATGAGTCCGATTTAGAATGCAGAAGCTCACACGGCGAAAGTTATTGTCCCAAAGATCGCATCTCCTTCCTCCCAACTACAGTAGGTGGGCTAAATCATGAAATGCCAACCGAAATTCCGAAATGTGTTCTCGTTTCGAAAAGATTACTTAAATAGGGTTGCAAAACTAATCAACGTGCAGCATAATTCTATAATAACTCAATTACCTCAGGATGCCGGCTTTCGAACGAACTTCTTCCCGGCTGCCGGCACAAACAATACTCTATAAAAAGGCCTACTTATACCTTTCTCATTGATTTTTGATGCCCTTAAATATTCGATTATATTTCATGGAAAAAATGTACTAAAATATTTATTCTTCTGCTCATTCGGTAGAAAATTACATCTTCTTCCAATTTTATACTCGGCAGAAAGGCATAATTTGGTTTTCAAAAAATTTTCTAATTCCCGAATAATTTTGAACCCCGACCTGCCGTTCCACTTGCATTCAGGGATTCAAAACTACAAGCCACATATTTTCCGCGTACGGAAAACCATACATTTCTCTACGGTATTAAGAGGAGACTATATGGGGTTCATAAAATGTAGCAGTGGATTTGAGCCCTATTATTTACTTTACAAGTCACATTGGTAAATGAGGAGACATGACGTTTTATGAAGGGCCATTTCACAGTATTAAAAAAGCTCGCAATTAGAAACCTTTATAACACCGAATTTTACCCTTCCTTCGCGTACGAAATTGGAAGAAGATGTGACTTTCTACGGAATGAGCAAGAAACTGAATACTTATTATGCATGTTTTCTACGAAATATAATTGAATTTTCAGGGGCATAGAAAATCAATAAGAAAAATGCAGGCTACTTAAGTGGTCATTTTTTACAGAGCATAATTTTGAATGCAGCCGAAAAAATGTTCGTTCGAAAGCCGGCATCGTGAGGCAACTGAATTATTATAGAATTATGCTGCACAATGATTAATTTTACAACCCTATTTAATAAATCTTTTCGAATCGAAAACGAATTTCAGAATTTCGGCTGGCATTTCATGAATTAGCCCACCTACTGTACCTTCTGGAGCTTGCTTTTTTCTTATTTGTAATTTGGCCAACCGTCGTTTGACTTCGATTGTTCTATTCTTTTGCCTATTTGCAAACGGAACACACAGCGGTAAACAGCCTTCTCCTATTGGGCAAAATGTTCTTTTCAGCCAGTCTAACTATGAAACTGATGCTTGACTACCGAGGCTGTCCTAAGGAGGACTCACCGCTTGAGAGGCCTATCCAGCGTCTGACTACTGTTAAAGTTGTCCGCGGATGTGCGTGAGTAAGCCTCGTAGGCAGAGCTACTCTCATCATCGGAAACCTGGACGTCGTCGGCCAGCATCATGCTGCAGTCCTCATTGGCTCGGGTCTGTCTTTCCCGAAGGAGGGTTGCTGTCTCCCGAGCCGCGGTCAGGCTAGCCTTGGCACGATCGAGCTCCGCGTACAGGTCTGAACTGCGCCTCTCCAGATCACTGACCTTTCGCACGTAGGTATCCAGGCTGTCCTGGAGGTCCGTGACCTGACGTTTCAAATGCCGATTATCTGTTTTGGCGGTCGACTCGAGCTTCTGTGTCTCAGTAAGTTCTTGCTAGAGGAGGGGAGGGCGGAAGAAGCGAGGGAGGGGAAGAGGTATGTTAGATTTTCGGTGCGAAAATTTGCCGTATCATTGACTACTACTAGAGTAAGAGAATTCAGGCCTATTGCCAATGACGAAGAACCAGAGGGGATGCAAATCTCAATGAGGGCGCTGTAAAAACTGGTATCGGCAGTTATCACTAATCAAGACCTACTGAAAGTGAAGGGCGGACACAAAGAACACAGTGACTGGACGTGCAGTACTGGTAATCAAATAATTTAACTACTAAAAGACAAGTTGATGTTCTTATATTCCCCATCTTACCTTGGAATATTACCGTTACTTTTGTTAGAACTACTAATACTTTATCTTCCTCTACTACTGCCACAACTGCCACTACGAATACTAACACTTTTGCTGCTGTCACTACTACTACTACTACTACTACTACTACTACTACCACAACCACTTCCTCTACCACTACTACTGATACTAATGCTACTACTACTACTGCTGTTACTAGTGCTACTACTACTACTACTACTACTGCTACTGCTGTTACTAGTGCTACTACTACTACTACTACTACTACTACTACTACTGCTACTGCTGCTACTAGCGCTAATACTACTACTACTACTATTACTACTACTAGTCCTACTACTACTACTACTACTACTACTACTACTACTACTATTACTACTACTAATACTACTACTACTACCACCCCTACTACTACTCCTACTACTACTACTACTACTACTACTACTACTACTACTACTATTACTACTACTACTACTACTACCACTATTACTACTACTAATATTACTACTACTACTACTACTACCACTACTACTACTCGTACTATTACTACTACTACTACTACTACTACTACTACTACTACTACTACTACTACTGCTGCTACTACCATTACCACTGCGGCTACTAGTACCACTGCCGCGGCTACTACTAATAGTGAACATAACATCGTAACTACCAACGTAAGTGCTAACAACTCTACTTTGTGGTCGTTCATTGCAACGCACGAAAATCATGGAAATGCGCGAAAAGGATGCACCCACAGTGGTGGTGAATGCCTGTGTTCCGCTGAAAACAACAGTAAAGTATAGAAATAACCCAAAAACCCAATGGAAACAAGTTAACCTACCTGAAGGTTCTCGACCTGGTCGCGCAACCTTTCCACCTCCATTTTGAGGTCATTCTCTCTCTTCGCGGCGGTGGTCTCCAATTCCGCCAGACGTTTCTCCAGAGCGACCTTCTCTGCCTGCGCCTTGGTTGTGGACTCAGTGAGGGAGATTTTGACCTCCAGAACTTCACGGCGCAACAGATCCCGCTCCTCCTTGATATTCTCCAGATCACGCTGGCGAGCGGCTGAGGCTTCACGCTCAGCACCCGCACGCCCGCTGGCCGCGGCTGCCTCCCGGACGGCCGTGTCGCGCTCCGTTTCCAACTGGGCAATGCGGTGGACGAGATTCTGTCGCTCCTTGGTCGCCACTCTCAGCCTCTGTTCGTTCTACATGACGACAAAATCGGGCTCATTTTGTTGTGGAAATAGATGTCATGCGATCAGGGGGCAGGGAAGGGGAAGTGGGGGGCTAAAGGCATTACCTCCTCCAACAGAGAATTTGCATTCTGCAGACGAACGTTGAGGATCTCAATGTCGGATTTGGCGTGGTGCTGGGCAACCTCCAACTGAGAAATCTTCAGATCTCTCTCCGCCACCTGTTGGGAGCGAATTTAGCAAACAGAACTTCAGAATCGAGAAATATGAACACAAAAAGTGGCAGCAGTTTGCAGTTTTGCCCCTGGTAGAAGTCTCTGATAAATGAATATCAGTTTTCCCCCGAAGGTTTATAGGAAGATGGTAAGAGAGACGGTGCAGCATATCATAATTTTGATTCGGCCCACCTGTTTTGTGACCTCCTCGAGATTATTTTCAGCCTTGAACTGATCGAACTCCTCCTGCAGATGCTCGAGTTCCTTAAGGTAGCGTTTGTTTTCGGCGACCACTCGGGCATGCGTGTCGCGAAGTTCGTCGGTTACTGAAAGATAGACGTTGCGCAGAAGTTACCCGGAGACTTCAAATTCAGCTGTCAAATGTAGTGGTTAACTTGGACTTGGAGGCCCCGTACTTAGGAATGGGTTTCATTGTGATGGAAAATCTATACTAGTTTCCACAATCATATGCATTTTCCGTAAAAAATGCCAGAATCATGCAAGACTGAAAATCAGCCATCCTCCATCTGAAATCCGTGCGTTTATGACTGCTATTTACTTTCGCTGGGTAGACGACAACGTTTGACTACCGACCCTGGAAATGTTACAGCATATCCACTATAAGCATTTCGTTAGACTACTTTGGTTCAGTGACAGTGTGCACCATAAACCCACAGAATGAGTAAATGCTGTAACCTTGTATGATAGCACAATTCGGTTATCCTTACATTAACAATGGCTGAAAATTCAATTCTAATGAAGTATGTTTTACACAGGTAAAGTTCAATCGTTAATTGGTCTAGGGCTAAGTATGAAATAAAGAGTTTTAAAATGCCTGCGTTTATATGGGATGCAATTGTCGGCAACTGGTTTTGCTGGCATCGCTCTAGCAGGCATTATGAAGAGCAATAAAGGCGAAGAGACGAGTCCAAGGAGGCAGTCATGCAGAAGGAGCCACGATCGCTGGGACAGGAGCTTTATTTGCCTGTCGTTCCGGATTCCTGCTTGAACCAATCATCAGAGACAATAGTATCTGCTACTGTCTTTGATGATGGATTCGAGCAGGGATCCAAAACGTCAAACGAATAAGGCTCTTGTCCTAGTGATCGTGTCTCCTCTTCCATTATAAAGAGCAGTCAGCTGCGATCGGTATTGAGAGTTGACGGGTTCACGGGATTGAGGGTTAATGGTCTGAGGGTTAACTTCAGGATTGGGTGTGGTTATGTTTCATTCCAACTAAACTTTGTGACTCCAGGCATATCGAAGTCATGGTTTTGAAATCTCCGCTTAAATATTCAGACTGCGCATATGCTGCTTAACACATACACTTATAACGCAGATGTCATCAACTTCGTTAACAAAATATCCCGTGGGCGAAGTTCTAACTCCGATCACATAAGTTCATTCCTTGTTTGTTATGCTGGGAGAAATTATTTTTCAAAAGTCGCGTAATTAGAAGTGACTAGCCAATTGAAGCGAGGAGACGAGTCCCAGAAAGCAGTCGTGAAGAAGGGGACACGATCGTTGGGACAAGAGCTTCATTCGCCTGACGTTCCTGTTTCCTGCTCAAACCCATCATCAGATAAAATATCACATACGGCTGGTTCATGCACAATGAGCTGCAGTATTTATAAGATGCAATATCCATGCTACCGACTGCATCCTATAATAAGTACTGCGACCCCTTGTGCATGAAACCACCCGTATCCACTATTGTCTCTGATGATGAGTTCGAGCAGGAATCAGAGACGTCAGGCTAATAAAGTTCTTGCCCTAGCAGTCGTGTCTTCTTCTTAACGAAGTGGCCAGCCGCAAACTATTTCGAGCTCGGGCATACATTTACTTTTAGACATCCTAAGGAGGCTGAAAGAAAATTTTAGTCTGAAATGTCTAAAAAAATTTATAAGGAGTTGAACTGAAACAAGATTCCTCACCTTCATCCTCATCGCTGAGCTCAGGAGCCTGGCGCAGATCGTCCAGTTTGATTTGCAGATCTGCGCACCGCTTCTCCAGGGCTGCCTTTTCTTTGCCGAGGTCGTCGACGGTCTCCGTGAGTTCTCGTACCTTTTTCAGATGTGCCTGATCCTTCTCTAGAATCTCCTCCTCGTGCTCATCACGCTGCCGACGCAGCTGACGTGTCAGGTTTGCAATTCTGTTGCGCATCTCCTGTGACTCCAGTTCCAGATCATCCCGGTAGCCTGTCTCCTCCTCCAGTTGTTGCTGTGGGGAAAGAGCAATGTGTGTGTGCGCATGTGACTGAAAGAGCGACAACTCCGTCAAATCTGTGAAGCAGAGATGAGGGAAAATACTACTTGTGGTGAGGTACCGAACTACTTTACCTTTGACAATTTAGTCCCATTTTCTTTGACCAGATTGCTTGTTTGAATGTGACGAAAAAGAACACACCTGTACAGCCCGCCTTCCTCACATGTTTTATTGTCGCATTCTGTTGTCAGGTTACCTGACGTTCAAAATCTCTATATTATTCACTGCTCACTTTTACTTGCTGCCTTTAAGGAGAGGGGCTCGTGCGATATAACTCGTTAGTTCGTGAGAACATTACCATTTACGTCATACCTTCCTGGACGAAGTGGTAGTTCAACAGACTCTCAAGAGCATGCAATGGATGCATGAACGAGAAGAAGAGGACCAATCAGATCAGCGGATGGTATGGGAGGATTTCGGGGAGTTGTATGTTTTCAGGAAAATCGTGCTTATAGGTAAACGTTGATATCCAATCAGGCTAACTCACCTGCAGAGCCTCTATTCTCGCTTCCAGTTCTTCAGAGAGCTTGGAAACATTGAAATTTTCCACATGTGTCTGGGAGTTGAAGATGGAATTCATGGAATGATCAGGTGTCGTTAGGTACCTTCGAACATTTGGCTGTGAGAAGAAAGTGTTACTGCCCTCTGGAGTAAGCCCACCGGAAGCAAACTGATCCGGCTGTCTGGCAGTAAAGATATCCAGTTGTCCTCCACTGGCGAGTGGCGTGTTTTTGATAGCATCGTAGGCTTCCTGATTCATAAGGAAGTAATTTCTAATGCTATCCAGAAGAGCCTGTGCACTTTGCTCCGCTGGTGCAACGTCCTGTAAAAAATAGTAAATAGTTGTTACTAGGTGATCTAAAGTAGGCACTCTAAACTACATTTAATTTCATACTGACATCGTGCGCTTCCCCGTTAAGTAGGATTGGCGGGAGAGAAGAGTGTTGAGTATCCGCTTGTTTGGCCTGTATGAGGAACCCATCATTGGATCCTGGGGTTTGTGGATAGTCGCCGACGGAAACAGTTTGCTTTCGTTTCAGAGCCGCTTTCAGCTCATTAATCATATTCTCCAAATTAGCTTCGTTCTCGTGAGCCTCGTTCAGTTGCGCGTTGGCCAATTCCAATTCACCATTTAGACGTTCAACTCGGAAGTTCTCCTGCGTGAGTAGGTTTTGTAAGTGTTCGACGCGTTCAGACAGGGTGCCGATCTGAAAGACAGGGGATTTGTAGGTTTTTTTCTGATAGTTGTGCTAATAATAGCTGAAATGCGATTTTTAACCACCACATAAACTGTGTACTGGCAAAATATAAGCATGAACTTGTAAGAACGTGGCCTTCACTCAAGTAAAACAACGCTTTCCGTTAAAGATGGTCAATTCTATATTCGGAAGATGCATTCTCCTAAAGAGAACATTTAAACGAGCTACTTAAAACATTAAAAGCATTGATTTTAGAGAGAAGTCGCAAGGAGTCCTGTCACATCGTAGACGTCGGTTTCGATTTTATTAATGTTTACGCAGATAGTAAACTCGAAAGCCCAACCTCCGTGCCTCTTGCTTTTACTTTCTTGTGAACAACAATTCAAAGCCATTTTTCGAAGTTGATTAAGCAATGATTCTGCAATTGGTTTCAAAAGGACCGGTAATACCTTTTCCTCGTAGTGCTGACTAGTTCTTGTGTTCTGATCATCCACTTCCTCGCGCAACATCTCCAGCTGATTGCGATAAAATTCCGCATTGTCTCTTGCCTGCTGGTAACTGCTGTCCAAAAGCGGATCACCAGTCCCAGCTGAAAAAATATGCAAAACGTCATTTTTTTTGCAAAAAACGTTATTCATTGAGGCGAAAACGCTTTTAGGTAAATTTACAAATACACCATGTCGCTTTGTGACACGAATAATGAATGCGAGATGTGTGGCAATTTTAACCATTTCATTATAATAACATGGAAACAGTTTGATGCTTATGATTTTACGAAAAAATATTCTTGTCTATTAATGAAATCGGAGAATTTGAACTTGCTCTGTAAGAGGGGCATTTATAAGTAAAAATTAAAAAAACTTTGAGAAGGCTAAAATAGCGTTGCATGTGAAGTGCCATACTGTCGTGAATGCATCTTTCATTGTAATGGCAACCGGAACAACTGATCGAAATATATGGCCATTCTTAACCGGAAAATCCAATAGCATTGTCTGCACCGAAAAGCCCGCGAGTCTCTACTGACATTTAAAGGAAGAAAATAAGTCAACCGGAACGGGAGACTTTTCCAAGGTACAACTTGCGGCGACTTCAGTTCAGCCGTCAAAAAAGGCGAATTATACAGCCTACCACAAGAGGTGTACAGTGCGTGACCGATCTCATGAAATGTTGCTCCAAATTCTGGAATGCGTTTCCAATTACGAAGGATTACTTAAGTGATTATCATGCAGCATAACCCTATAACATTTCCGACTCGCCAGGGTGTCGGCGTTTGAATGCACTTCTTTTTGACCTCCTGCCGTAACCATACTTGGTATAAAATAACTACTTAAGTAGCATGCATTTTTTCTATTGATGCTCGATGGTCTTATAAATTCAAATATATTTTATAGAGAAAATGCACACGCTTTCTTTTGCTCATTTGATGGGAAATCACATTGTCTTCCTATTCTATGCTCGACGAAAGTGTGTATTTAGGTTTTAAAAAAAGTTTCCCAAATCCCGAATAATTTTCAGCCTGATCTGCCATTGCATCAGCGTTTAGCAATTTCAGTCTACAAGGTGCATACTTTCCGCGTAAGGAAAATCATATATTTCTCCAGGCCTTTAAGAAGATATTACATAGAGTTCATGAAATTTCGCACTGGATCCGGACTGTGTTGTACATATCATGAGAAGCATTAGTAAAGGGACATATGCGGTCTTGCATGCATGAACATCGCACTGCCTTAAAAATCTCATAATTAAAAGCTTTTTAAAACGAAAATATACACTTTCTTCGGGCATAAAATATGAAAACAATGTGACTTCCTACCAAATGAGCAAAAGAAAGCATATTTTTGTGCATGTTATCTATAAAATATATCTGAATTTATAAGACCATCAAAAATCAATAGGAAAAATGCATGCTACTTAAGTAGTCATTTTATACCAAGTATGGTTACGGCAGGAGGTCAAAAAGACGTGCATTCAAAAGCCGACATCCTGGCAAGCCCGAAATGTTATAGGGATATGCTGCATGATAATCAGCATAACGACCCCACTTAAGGAATCCTTCGTAATCGGAAACGCATTCCAGAATTTGGACCAATATTTCATGAGATCGGTCACGCACTGTACTTAGCGTCTGTAACTTGCGCCTTAAGTGATTCATAATGAAGCAGACTTAGGGAATGGCTATTGCACCCCCAATCCTTGACACACACCTTGCTCTGATGGCAAGACTGTGCTAAAATGAGTAAATATGAATGCCGTCCCACGGGATGACAGGGACGACAGCCGGTCTGCGCGTGCCGCTCACGATCTAGCTCTCACTCCAGATGTACGGGGCTACACTGAGAGCGACTCGGCCATCACATCATTGAGGAGGCCACAAAAATCACATTGGCAGGGAGTGAACGCAGACTGACTCTCAGTCCTGAAAAGGGCCCAGTTATCCCGTCAGTTGTCGCTCTTCTATGACGCCGCTGTTTACGCATAGTGTTAGACTCAAACGCGTCGAAATACTTGCAGTGATGAATGCGATGAATTATCACGGGAGTGGGCTCTGCAGTTTGCGTCCTCAGACTCCCCTCCCTCTCCCATGCAACAGTTGACTATCCAACCTTGTAAATCAGTTGTTTGGTGAGGCGTGAATGTCCGCGTGTAGGGCGTATCGCCACACACACATGTTTGACCACTTATTACAGCCTTGCGTACACAATGAGCCCTGCGACAAACGAGTTTCGAGAGCCTGTTTCATCTCCGTTCTGATTCAGTGCAGCACGTTGCCGGGCCACGAACTGATAGACACCTGCGTTGCCAGTTCGACCGTTGTTTCCGATGATGTTCACTGTGTGCTCCACAGCAGGGTGAGAGCAGAAACGGTGAGTTGCACGTGAATTAGTTTACGGTGGTAGTAGACTTGCACTGCATTTTCTTCACTCTCCCTTCGCTTGGATCCGGGGTCAAGAAATAGTCAAGAAGACCGGAGGCGAGAGGGAGCGCAGGTGGCTGGCACGGCTAAAACCCTTGCCTAGACGTATCATCACAACCCCTTGTTCACATCGTGTACGAAACAAAGCAGCGAGACGGCACGAATCCCAATCGGCGCGGCCGTGAAACAGTAACGGGCATATCACCACACCCCAGCGTTGACATTTGTTATGGGTTTCGATGTACAATAACGCCTGCCGAATTCTGATCTTGCCCATGTGTTGGTTAAACTCATCAACCGCGAGGCCCGTTTTAGGGGCAGGACACTTTCGCAAGCCCCATAGACGGCCAACCATGTTAGACCAATTAAAGATGCCATACCTATGCGTCCCACATCAGTCTGTGGGCAGTGGTATAGGGAAGGACCCCATTTAACCTTCAATAGGCTGTGGATCGTGCCATACGTGATTTGTGGTAAATGGAATTTTATGGAAGAACCAGCACGCTAGACATTAAGCTGACATAATGAAAGAAAACACAGAAATTGCCTGGATTTGTGCCGAGTCTTATCCTACGTAATTGTACGACAACGGAAATGCGAATAATAATTAAACAAGAAAAAAAAGTAAATTTCACAAAATAACGACTTTTGAGTTAAGGTGTGAGATCCTGGGAGGTAATCGTTGATGGCAGTGTAATTTCGGCAATAGCCTGCGAACGTATGCCAAGATAAAACCCATATGACACGATCCACAGTCTACTGACACTTAAGTGGGGTCCTTCTCTATACCGTTGCCCAATCTGTGTTTTCGAATGTTCTCGAAATTGAGGGCACAAATAAACTGTGCACAGGAAAAAGAAGCCGGGTACTCCGTTAGCTGACTGTGAACTAGAATGACTGCTGAGATCAGAAAATAAGGCCCGACCACGATTCACCTGTTAGACAGTAACCACGTGCGGAGACACTTCGAAGGACGACTTAGGCGCTTTCGGCACTATTCAGAGTCCACCGAAAAACGGGCTGGGAAAGTTAGGACCGTGCAAGCAGAAGGACCACGTGGTTCACCCCGCCCTATTCTCACTCCTTCCGCCAACACTACTGACTAATGTTCTCAGCTTTAGGAGTCATCGATGCAGTCAAAAAACGGTTCCCCTATGCCAACTGCCTCCTCAGCGGCCCGTTAAAATTTCGAATGATTCTACCTCTCCTTCAAGTGTCTATATCGCTTTTTGGCTAAATTGCTTTTCCTATCATGACTTTTGCCTTTGTGAATATGCTATGGCTGTTACGGTTGAAGATGGGATCACAGGATGTATGACGCCAAATGACTGTGCAAGCTTCGAAGCCTTGGATTTGTTCAAACTAAGTCCCGGAATTCCCTGCTCTGCCGAAAACAGTTAAACTTTTGGGTGAGTATATGCAGTTGGAGGACTCCAAATAAGGGGCAACGAGGAAAGTGTGGAGGATACCACAAAGAACGAATGCCAATACTGGGGACTGTTGCGTTTAGTCAGCAGAGGTAAGCGAAAATCGGGGTACGTAGCCCGGTGTGCATGCGATTTCAAAAGCCCTTAATGCTAGCTTGATCATAGAGAATGACGGTGGCAGTCTGCTGTTCTTTGCTCTCCGCCGCCTTGTCTAGCTGCCCCTCTTGTCCGCTTCACGTTTGCTGTCGATGCTGAGACTTCGCGAGGATTGTTTTTAGCCTCGCGAGAGCTCGAGGCCAATCGACGCTGTCCCTCCTCTGATTGGCTGGCGGACGCTAAGTGAGGCTGAGCGAAGGCGCAAACCTCGCCGACGGACACGGGACAATACAATTTGACTGGAGAGGCGGCTTATGGCAGCTGCTTGAAGAGCGTCTAGTGTAAAGTTGTACAACCCAATCCGTCTTCCCTGGCCTCTAAATTGGAAACCTTCCTGTGGTCGACCATACCACCTCAACATGTTCTTCCCTCACTTTTCTCGTTTCACAGTGCTGCATTGATCTCACTTCCGTGAAAACCCCTTCGACGACACAATTAGCACATCTTAATATCGGTGTGAAAGGAATTTTTCCATGACTTGTATTAGGCCATGGAAATAATTTAACATTATTTAGCGTGACATTTATATGTGCCACTACTCAGACGGTCTGGAAATATTAAAGAGTATACAACACAACTTGTCATAACCTTGAAGTTTATGACTGAAAATTTTAAAGAAAACCGGGTTCGTATTACCTGAGAAAAAGACTATTAAGGCAAAGGACAATTTCCACTATATTTGTTCTGGTGTTAGCTACGGATCGGACAACGAGTCCTGTTATAGATGCGCTGGAGCAAAACGGGGGTCACTAGGGCCCACAATAAGCGTTTGTCGGACTACGCTGGGCTCGCGCAAGCCAATAACGCCTGCTTTACATGCGGAAAATCAGTCGATTCCTCATCCTAACAAATCTGATCCATTTAAATCTACCACGACGCTCAGACGCGGTTTCGCAGGCTGACAACTGACAGGATAAACTAGTTCCCCCGAGAACCAGACCGGCTCTTATGACGCCGCGTATACGGGACGTTTAGCGTTGTCAGTCATTGCGTCCAAGTCCGTCTCCGATTAACCTGACACAGTCTTTTTATCGGAGTAAGGTGGAGAAGGGGAGGGGGGAGAATGCGTGCGAGTGCCAGCGCTTTATCCACTCCATGGGGCAGGGAATGAACTTCGCCTTTAGGATAAGGTGATTCCATACCAACAGCACAGGTACTAGCCAAAAGCCCATACACGCGTGTTTCGCTGATATTCTGCCGCCGCATGACACAGCTTTGAGGTGTTCGGCTCGTCAATGGGTTCCCCAGCATTCCCTGTTTTCTTGCTGGTAGATACTTCAATTTAGAAATTGTAGCTTTTTAATTTCCTTAGAAATTAACTGCGAACTTGGAGTAGATCAGTTTAGTCAAGGTCTATAGGCTCAGACGGAAGTTTTTATGCATGAATATTTGGGCCGAAGTCCATCAGCCACAGCGGATAATCGTGCAATATTCATTAATGGCCGACAGGCGGCTGCAAGTATACTTTAGGGTAAGGTAATTCCATACTAACAGCGCAGGTACTAACCAAAAGCCCATACACGCGTGTTTCGCCGATATTCTGCCGCTGCATGACACAGCTGCGAGGGTCTGAGACTATAGACCTTAAATATACTGACCTACTCCAAGTTCGCAGTTAATTTCTAAGGAGATTAAAAAGCTAAAATTTCTAAATTGGAATTTCTACCAGAAAGCAGACAGGGAATGCTGGGGGACCCACTGACGAGCAGAACCACTCGCAACTGTGTCATGCAGCGGCAGAATATCGGTGAAACACGCGTGTATGGGCTTTTGGTTAGTACCTGTGTTGTGAGTATGGTATCGCCTTACCTCAAAGTATACTACTAGCTGCCTGTTGGCAGTTAATGAATATTACGCGGTTATCCGCTGTGGCTGATGGACTTTGGCCGAAATATTCATACATAAAAACTTAGGTCTGAGCCTATAGACCTTAAATATACTGATCTACTCCAAGTTCGCAGTTAATTTCTAAGGAAATTAAGAAGCTACAATGAACTTCGCCGCTTACGACGGGGGAAATTATATTTTGTATATTACCGATCGAAACCGACAGGACAAAGGGCTCCTGGCCCAGAGGCGCGGACTTCTTACTAACAGGTCGCGAGTTCGAGCCTCGGGTGTGCCACACTTCGGGGTTGGGTATGACTGGCTGACGACGGCCAATAGGGCAGAAATGGCCATTCCAGTCTCCCTTGTCTTTGTCGATAGTGCCATTCTGCCCGTATCATGCGCCGCTGTGTGGCTGCTGGTTGGGCTCGAGAGAGAGCCCAAAAGGCACAACGGAACGAGTGAGTTCCGTAAGAATGATCGGTGAGCGCTCCCTACCATTGGAAATTGCTGTGGTAGTTCGATGTATTGAGATAAACAATCGATCTCTTCTGTCCAAAACTCTTGCCAATAAGCAAAAGTAGATGACTGCTTCACAGGAACGGCATGCGACTGCAAATTATCTCGCGGTCGGAGACTATCATTAAACATCTTCTAGAAATACTGGGGGCTTCATAAAGAAGTCTTAGAAGGAGAGAGTGGCGCGGGAGACTACCTCCACCAGCTGCCAGAGGCATCTGGAGCCCGGTCCCGTAGGCCTCCTGAGGTAGTCCAGAAACCATGGAGTTCCATTGCTTTTGGTGATCAGAGACAGCCATTGATAACTAGAATGAAGATTATAATTAAATTTAGTAAGCATTGCAAAGACGGTCGAATTGCAAGGTAGTATACGTGGTTTTTCACACAGAAGCAGAGCTTAGGGGCTTTGTATTAAGCTAAAAACGGTGTGCGTGGTTTCTTTGGAAGCCTATGAATCTACTACTCAAAACTTACGCGACTGTCTTAATACCACCAATTCTGGCCGCATTGTCAACGAACAACTCCTCGTTTATTGCAAACCAATGATTAGTGATTTCTTTAATTAGATGGCATGGGAACGTCTGATACACCGTATAGCACTTTTAAGGACGTCTGTGAAATCTGCACCTTATGGCACTCACCTTTCAAGCACTTCCACCTGATCAGGAAAGTTAGCCATGTTTCTCACGTCTCAACCCTTGCTGATCCTACAACGGCTGGCACGTGACTAGTCAGCTGGAATTCCATTGAACTGCAACCCTGTATTTTGTTCGGTTAACCGACTATTCTGACTCCCGTGCCGTGTCCTTTCTCCCAACCCCCACCCATGAGTACAATGTCTATGTGACTCCTAACGTCCTTGCGCTCTGAGGTGGTAATTCCACACCCCCTTGTTTCATTTCAATCTTACAAGGGGTTAGTGTCATCAGCAGGGAAATTCACGAGGATCATCACACTTTTTAAGACGCGTCTCTGTATTGTCCTGTATATCGGTTGGGAACGAATACTACTTTAGCGGGGGGGAGGTGTTAAGTAGATAAAATGCATAGGTTTAGAAAAAGAAGCCTCGCAGCTCACCTTTCGGTCATATATGATAAACCAAAATACGATAGTCATATGTTGAAAACAGGCATGTACAGCAGAATTTACTGGGGTCAATAAATTTCGTGACGGCTTATCAACTGCAGCCCGTCTCTGCATAACATAGGTAACGAATGGAAGCGCACAGCAGTATTTATTGGCCTCAATAAATTCTGCTGTACATGCCTGTTTTCAATTCATACCCGAAAAAATGCTTCAGATAGTCTTTTGGTTGGCTTAAAAAACTTAGACTTCAGCTTGAACTTATCCAACGAATGGTTAATTTGCGCCTGGAAAATAACTGTCACTGATCTCACTCCTTTAGTTTTTTAGTTGGTTTCATCCCCTCATTTAGTTTAATCATTTAATTAGGCCCCATATTTGCTTGGAATAGGACTCCTTATGTTCGCAGTGAGATTGTAGCTTGCCACAATTAAGGACTGACGCGTCAGTTGTGTGGGCACTGAAAATCATGAGTCATGAATAAAAAAAATCTGATTTCGCACTTTTTAAATTTACTGCGTGTGTATGTCATGCATCGGCAGAGCACACGTCTGGGCTTTTATCTACTACGTACGCTATCAAGTATGGCATATCGCGCAATCTATGCATATATTTAGTTAGCATCTATGTCGGAAGTACGGTATAACAAATTCACCATATGGATTTCATATTACTCGTAGTATTACTTGTTTGTAGAATGGGCATTACGTGCTTATTCCACAGTAGTTGCTTATCTTCGACTCGAATGCTTAGGGCAATTTCGGGTCTGACCTTAAAAAGTCATGTCCCGGAGACTTAACTTCATGTCCTATACTGCATAATTACTGAAATTATTCGCCTAATATATATTTACGTACATACACATTTTCATGCGCAGTCCGGTTTTTAGCTGAAGGACTACACAGAAAATGCGAGATACTCTCGGAACGAATTTTGATTTGAAGGTATCTGTATTCACACATGCGGCCTGCTAATAGTTTGTTTACTTACGTTACCTGGGATTAGCCTTTTAAATATTTGAAGAAAACGCTTCTCTCTTTGTTAAGAATTTGTCCAAGATCACTGGTTTCGTATTTGTAATTTGCTTATAGTCATTTTCACGCCGCTTAAATTCGTTATGGATGGAAATTGGGCCTTTTAGACCATTCCTATTTGCTGTAATGGTACAGTCTAGAAACGTCAGACTGCTGCGGACTAATGTGGACCGCGACTGTTTTATCAGTAATATCACATTGTACGTTGGTTCCGTTTCAACTAATACTCTGGAAGGGAAGCTTCGGGAGTTTATTTTTGGAGTGAACATGCTTGTTCCGCTCGCCTTGGCTCTCCTAACTATGGCCTTCACCTGCGGCCCCATGGTGCAAGTAGAATACCCACCGGGACTGGCTAAACTGAAACGACCATGTCTGACTTATTAGTCGTCATCAGCCGGCCAGGCTTCAGACTCAGGCCTGGACAGCCTAAAATTCGAACCTGAACGCTTTGTGTGGTGAAAGTGTCCTTGCAGAATAACTTTTGTCCCGACTACAGCCAATAAGACGACAGAATTATGATTTACTAGTTGAACGTTTAACTTAGAGCTCGAACCAAAGGTTGCTTAGGTGTGTATCCAGGTTGTGGACGCTTAGCGACGGCCACAAAGCTGGATTTGATCATTACGGACATCATTGGGCTTGTGTGGTTCCTAGCGCCTCAAAGCAGTTGGTAACATCTACTTACTTTCACTTTAGTAGACTTCCTGTATTATATAGACCAGTTTTGAAAATTCAGCATTTCTCATAGGAACAAAATGTTTTTTTCCAAAAAGTCAAGTCCTCACTCTCTGAGACCGTATTTAGGGACATGCAAGCTTGCAACTCAAAATAATTTGAAATACTTTTATTTAGTATCCTTAGTAAAGTAACAAAACCTTCCGCTTAAATGCATACCCGCACATATACCAGTTTATCTGTTCTAGTCTACCAATGTATATTCCTGATAGCAACCGACAAGACAACGAGCCCGTGGCTCAGTAGTTAGAGGCGTTGGACTTCTAACTAACAGGGTGGAGGATTGAGCCCCAGTTGTTCCACACTTCGGGGTTGGGTATGACTGGCTGACGAGGGCTAATAAGCCGGAAATGGTCATTCCAGTCTCCCTTATCTTTGTCGGCAATGCCATTCTACCTATACCATGCGCCGTTGCGCGGCTGCTGGTTGGGCTCACTAGAGAGCCCGTAAGGCCCTTATTTAATCTCTGGCGACGCAGAAGCACTTAAGTAGCTTAGTAAATCAACAGAGTAAGAGAAAGAATGTTTTTATTCATGCCTTCTGTGAACTACCTTTATAAGGGCATCGAAATTCAATGGAATAGATTTATACTCCGCAGTCAGTCATTTTTCAAGGAATGTAGTTCGAGCAGGCGGCAGACAAAAAGATTTTTCGAAAGCCGGCATCCCGGCGGGACTGGAATATCTTGACATTGTGCGGCATAACAAATAACTTAATAGTCCTACTTAGCTAATCTTTTCGTACTGAAAACTCATTTCAGAATTTCGGGTAAAATTTCATGCAGTAGCATATCTAATGTAGATCCAGTTATTTTAATCGGGATAACAAAGTTCAAGATTAACTTACTTCCTTGATGAGACGGTTTACGAGATCACCACTAACGCCGCCGGGATGCATCTGGTCCAGCTATAAAAAAGACAAAATTTAAGAAAACCAGATTTTTTGCACGTCATAACCAACAGCGTCTACAAACTTTTCATGGAAACAGACAAACACATCTTGGTGGTATGCGTATTACGATCGGGAAGTTACATATAGGCGCGCTGTTAAATCGTGTTTGTGTGGTAAAAACCTGTGGAAGCATTTGGGTGAACATAAGTCGACAACGATCAACATGCTCTCTCTCACTCCCATATTCCTTCATCTGCAACCGTCTCTGACGATGGGTCCAAGTGAGAATTCGAAACCTCAGGCCAGTAAACATCTTGTTCCGGTGATCGCATCATCATCATCATCATCATCATCATCATCATCATCATCATCATCATCATCATCATCATCATCATCATCATCATCATCATCATCATCATCATCATCATCATCATCATCATCATCATCTAAAATGTTTGGTTACATTACTGGAGGAAGTGTCTGACGGTAAAGAGCAACAGACGGCTGCCTTGCCGCCTCAACTCTTTCCACCCTTACTCCAGTCACCTGCAAATGATAAACCTCCCAGTAGAGACACGAGCTCAGGATTGTCTAACTTTTTACCTCACAACCAAACGAACCCTAGCTCCGGTGGGTCAGAGGCACTGACCTCGGGATGCGCGAGTGTCTGCCTCTGGGAATCGCAGTCTACGACCCGCGCAACCTCCCCCCCCATCTCTGGCAAGCGGCAGCTTAGACAAAGAGCAGAAAGGAGCAAACTACACAAATTCCTCTCAGTCCAGCTCGTCGCATGGGGTCACGTTTGTGTGGCACTCGTAGCGACGCATGTGCAGGCCTCGAGGTCAGCTGTTGTCTGTTACCACTGACTGGCAACCGGGTCTCAGGTCAAGAAGTGTGACTGGAAGAAGACGAGCCCTCTGCCAGCATCCTCTGAGTGCCTCAGTGACGATTTCCTTGACACACAAGGTAAACTTTCTAGAGCTGGCCCATTTCTTTCCACGTTTGCGGAAAAAATCACCACACGGGGGTAGTGGTGCCATCAGGCTAGTAGCTAATGATCAGGCTTTTGGTGAGTGATCATACTCTGCGGGGTTGATTGACATTTCAGTTCTGAAAATGAGAAGCTTGCCTACTGGACCACTCAGAAAGGTATGGGGTCTGATTTTGTAATCAGGCGATGTACCACATTAGCTAATCCATGTTACCCAGCGTGCTTGGCGCGTGTGCTTTCTAGCAAAACTTTCCATCCAGTTCTTTTTAAACGACAGCGGCAGCAAAGTTCTTCCTCGGATGTTACTCATGGTTGAAAATCATAGTCCGAATTCTACCCTTTTCCCGGTCTGCAGACATGTGAGTACCCGGGCGATAGAAAGAAACTCTAAAAGGAATGACATTTATTGATGAGCCAAACTCTCCATCTTGTTTCTATTCCGCGCATAATTTAGCCAGACTTAGATGATGCTAAGCACTTATGGCTGCGGCAAACGTTGTCATTCGAGGGACAGATGTTTTCCGTGCTTGAAAGTTGCTACATGAACGATCATTCTTCGAGCTGCGATTATAATCTCGATCTTGTTCGCAGTGTAATATGTAGCACTTTTGTGACTCATGTAAAGGGCTTCTAAAACCACGAATTCGATTCCATCTAACGGCCAGCTATGACGGCCCTAGGCCAGTCAATGACCGCTTTCGACCTACTTTATGTCCCAACCTGAGATCTCATTAGTCCGCTGATACCAGCAGGTTTCTCCCCTCTCTTGCTCCACTTTTACCCCCATCACTTTTATGCCGTCATTTTTACCACTGCCAATATGATTGGGAATACTAATTGGCCTCACAATTCCCCACAGAAGACGGTGGACGGCGCCCATCTCACGTGCATGAGAGTGCCATAACATACGACGATGACGACAGTTCAACCGTTGATTTCGACGATCTCCACTGTGCGTCCCAAAGCAGGGTGAGAGCAGGGCTGGTAAATTGCTCAGGAATTAGTGTATACTGATAGTGGATTTAAGTAGCATCTACAGCACTCTCTCTCTCCCTCACCATCTGCGTCCGGTGTCAATACAGAGTCAAGAAGGTCAGGGACGGGATGGCACTTCGAAATCCGCACGTAGACGTACTACCACACCACGCCTCACCATAACACACATACATCCCGCGCAGTTTGAACCTCGTTTAGATGCAGTTTTAACTGTCACTGAAATCAGTCACAATTCGTACAACAAAACAACGCACCAGCTGTAGAAGTCTGGATATTTTGTCCTGATAGGCCACGTTTTCGTAGCGTAGAACCTTGACCATCGCCTTGTATCTCTCGAGTTCACTCTGCAGGGAAGAAAAATTAGAAATTCTTTACTTCCAATTTCTCAAAAAGAACCTGATGCATATTTAGGTTCGCCATTTGAATGTGGACATTGTCGGGAATTCATGAGGTAAAGCAGCTGTCCTCGGGATTCCTCGAGGCGAGTTTTTTCGTGTGCTAGTAGACAAACATTTTCGCATTTGGTCGTCATATTGCGTGCCAGGAATTTTAAGCACCTCTGTAAATGGACCGACATGATAAAGACCTAATGGTAGTCATTCGGTCCAATCGAAATAACTTTTACATTGCTTCCATAGACGCAAATCCCTACCTTAAGTTGAATAATCTCATCCTCAAGGCGATGGCGTTTCAGATGTGGTTTGAGGGCCAGGATCAGACGGATCCATGGATCAAAGTACGCGGCAGCATTTCGTTGAATACATCTAACGGCATCATCCTCCTTCTGCAATTAAAACAGAATAAATTGATCAGGACGTAAATACTCAGTATACAAGCTGTCTAAAGAGGCTGGACTCTGCAGCATCCGCTGAAAGCAACTGGACGGAGTAACCACCTTTTGGTAACTCATTTTCCACATCTGTCAGAAATCTTAAATATCGTGTCAAGAAGCAAAAGAACTCGAGTCAGGGATGGTGTTTACTCTGGTAAAATCAGTGACAACCGGCGTAAATTCATGGAACGAAGACAGTTTTAAATCACTTTCTGAAGTAAGCCGCAGGCACCATTTCCTCATTTGCAGCAACGGACGACTGCTTCCAAGCAGCGTTCAAGGCAAGGCAAACAAGCTTTCGCCTAATAGCGAAACGTGAATGCAAACACTTTTACTTCCTCTTACGGCGTATTCCTACTAAGCGGTCTTCTGAAGCGTGATCAGCTATCACTTACCTATGAGAATACTTGCCTTGCAGACAGCATTAACTGGACTGGCCATTTCTAACTTATTTACCGTCGTCAGCCAGCTGGGACTTTATCGACCAACGTTCTTCCACCATAGTTGCTATCCCAGATCGCCATCGAGAATGTGACGAGCCCCTGACTCAAGTGGTAGAGTGGTGGACTTAAGAACAATGATCAAATGGATCCAGAGTCGAACCTCGGACCTTGCAAAAAATGGGGTTAAGTATGGCTTTCTGGCGACAGCTAGGGGGCCAGAAATAGTCACTCATTCTCCCCTGTTGTTGCCTAACTTCCTTCGCTTACTTACAAATGTGGAGATAAAAATCGGGGAAGTGGATTTCACGACACCGTCGTTGACATCACGAGCCATTTCTAGGGAGAAAGCCACTCAAGTGGTGCACCGCAAATCCATCAAGGTAGTAGGCTACAAACCAACTTTAACTGTTTGAAATATTTTGTCATATATTGGCATTGTAGTACTAACTACTCAAACTTTGATTCGTAGAAGGAGTTCTTACAAGAAACGAGGCCTTTACCGTGAGTAAAAAGTCTTACTTGAGAGGCCATCCCAAACAGTACCAGAAAGGGAAGGCCTCTTATTGAGTTTCTGACTGGTTTTTACGCATTAATAATTTATTAAATTCTTCATATGCTGCGATAAACGGGTTACTTACAATCACCTAGTCACCTCAAGGTTTCGCTGCTTTTTGTTTCAGAACATGCAGGGAAAAAGACTTACAAGTTTTTTGCGTTTTTCTAACTTGGCCAGGTAGGCACGACACTGGGCTTGCATTCTAACGAGGAGATCATTGTTGAAAGCAGACTCCAAGTCGTCCACAGGGTTATAATGGAAGGTAACCTAAAACAAAGAGAAGGAAATATGAGGAAAAGGAGAATGAGAAGGAGTAGGTACTGCTACAATTAAAGCACTTGGGTGTAGTGGTCTGAACTATGGGAGAAGACAAGTGGAAATATTATGTCGGAAAAAACGGGGACGCATAATGGGTCATTATACCTTCGTTAACAATGTGTGTGTGAGTGTGCGTTTGCCGTCAAAACCGGCCACGCGGCACATGCTCTGGACCATCACGGGGGCCACACTGGATTGTGGCAGGCGTTATCGGGAATGCGCACTATAAAAAATGCCAAACTTGGGGGCTAGTGGCAGACCCAATTGCCGACTCACGTCGAGCATACTGGGACCCCTGCCGTCACCCTTTTATTGTTGATGGTTAAAATTCTGGTCAGATGTTTGTTCTGGACCAGGAAGTATGATGGTACGCCTTTGTACAAGCCCGTCATGCCAGCCACTGGCGTCCCCTCCCACTTTCAGTTTTCTCGACTCTGTCTTGCCACCGGACCCAGGTGGGGGAGGAGGGGAGTGTGAGGTAGATGCAGCGCAAGGTTATACTCACTATAGTGAAATCACGCACAAGTCACGGCGCCTGCGGAGCACATAGTGGACATCTTCGGCGATGGTCGTCGAGCTGTCGTGTGTGTGTGTGCGTGTGTGTGTGTGTCCCTCAAAGAGGCCACGCAGTAAATGCGCTGGACGAACACGTGGGGGGGGGAGGGGAATATCGGATTCTGGCAGGCGTTATCAGCGTACGCAGCATAACAAATGTCAACATTTCGAGGATGCGGTGGCAGATCCAATTGCCGACGTACGTTGCGCATAAAGGGGCTGCCTGCTGCTCCCCCGATTGTTGTTTGTCAAAATCCAGGTCAGTTGCTGTGTGGGTCGGAAGTGTGGAGTGGAGCGTAAAGTTGCGGGTTCGACCGTGCTACCCACCTGCGCTCTCCCCGTCTCCGGTATTCTTGAAGAGAGAGTGCGGTAGACACAGTGCAAGTCTACTATCACCATAAGCTAATCCATGCATAAGTCACCGTCCCTGCTCCACCTTGCTGTGGAGTACATGGTGGACGTCGCCGAAAATGTCGAACTATCGTGTGAGCATGTTCGTGTGTGTGTTCACGAATCCCCCTTAGCCACAGAAAACAGTTTCGCTTTTACGGTGTACTAAACAGAAGTTTGGATTTAAGGGGTTATCGCAATCAAGCCAAGTTCGTTTTGATAGGAAAACTAACAAGTCTACGGAGAATTTAAGGCAAGGTGTCATTGCAAGAGCGTACTTCGAGGCGCTTTAATGCAGTCCTATTACCACATATCTGGGAGTCTGGAAGAAGGGAGTAACGCGGACGCTGGGGAGGTTTTTTCAACGGTAGCCCACACCGCAACCAAGGCAACACTGGTGTAAGGACGTTCACCGATCGCGTTTCGAAATATTCGTCCCGTTTTCCTATGACGCTGAATCTCGAGTCCGGGGGGCAACCGTCCAGCGGCCGGTATTGTGGACAGAACATCATTAACCACGAAGAAGATGCCGACTAGAATTGTCACTTCTGGCTTATTAACCATCACCAGCTAGCCATACTTAATCGCATGTTTTTTAACCCCTGAAAACTCGCGAGCTGTCGGTTGGAATTCCAATGTCGTAGCCATTGAGCCACAAGCTTGATGGCTCGATGCATATAACATTAATCACTAAAAGGTTTCCGGCGGGGCTGGAGATTGAGCACCAAGTCAAAACGGGACGAGTTTGTCCCCATAGCGCGATCGGTGAACCCCCTACACTAATGTTAGTAAGCCCGGTCGAAAGTGACGACACAACGGGCTTCTAGCCAAGAAGTCGCGGGCTCGGACCTCCGGGGTTCAGAAAACCTGGAGCTGGGTGTGGTTGGCTGATAACGGCCTATAAGCCCGAAATGACCACTCCAATCCCTCTTGTCCTTGTCGGTTGGGTTATTGTCAACACTGTCAAAGAGGCAAAATCCCATTTTGTCGAGCACACAATTGCGGTACCGAAAGGGGATTGGCTGTTGCGGTGTGCATTAGCTGGGGCTTTACGCCCTGTCAACCACCGTGCTAGACCTCACTTCCGATTGGCTGGACGCGGAGGTGCCACGGAAGGCATGGAATGAGAGTCTGATTCATCACATCTTTTCCTTACCAGCTACAACCCGAGCCGCTTTTATCTATTAGGAAACCTCAGTCTCATGCCTCAGGTGTTGCCGACTGACGGGGATGGAATCTCCAAGGCCTACTTTAAGTCTGACGCTTTCGACAACCTTCTCAATGCGCTTTTGGAGACTGGACCCCTATTCCTGCGAGCTTAGGGACCAGTTTATGTTTGCCACGTGACGACGCTGGGTTACTCACATCAATCGCTGTGCCTACATGCGCCTCCAGTTATCCTTGCCACGTCTGGTATTTTGGAGAATGACGTGTGCATGTGTGTGTTGCTCCCCCTAAACGGGTCACGTGTTAGATGCGCTGGACCAACACAGGGGGGCCACATCGGACTCTGGCAGGCGTTATCTTTGCGCAATAACAAATGCCAACATCCAGGGGATGCGCTGGCAGACCCTGTTGTCGGCAGTCGTCGCACAAACTGGGATCGCTGTCATCATTCCATTGTTTTGTCGTTAAAAACCTGGCCAGTTGTTGAGAGGACCAGGGGCTGCGGAGTGGAGCGCCAAAGTGAGGATCCGTCCAAGCCATCCACCCGCGGCCGCCCTCGTCTCCTGTCCTCTTGGCTCTGTCATGACACCGGGCTCAGGTGGGGGAGGAGAGAGTGTGGTAGATGCAGAGTAAGTCTACTGGTCCTATAAACCCCCATGTAATTCACCGTCCCTGCTCCCACCAACTGCTCTGGGGTATACGGAAGACATCGTCGAAATCGACAGTCGAACTTTCGTGTGTGGGAGGCGAGACCGGGTTGGATGTCGCGCATCCCCCCCCCTCCCCCTGTATAAATGATTGATGTGCAAGTTATCACCGAACCGCCTGGAGAGTCGTGGCCCTTGTCGTCAAACGTTTGATATGAATTACAAAAAAACCAAAGACAAGAGATGGCGGAGAAGGCTGAGGAGGTCTGGATATGACACCATTCAGTACCCTCTCGAAACGTGTATTATACCACTGGCCGGTGATGAATAGTCGAGAACGCGCGTGCACACGAGTTTTGTCACGAAATTTGGGATAAAGATTGTTAAGCAAATTTTTCTCCGGCGTGTCTATTTCCCCAGCCGAAGGCTAGAAATGAGATGGAAAAGCTACATGGCCGTACCTCGCTACTGAGAACCAAAATAAGTGAATACAATGTCCAATGGATCTACCATTAAAAGGACGCCACTGGGTATGCACTTAACTGGCCATCCACTAAGTGTGTTGTCAAGATGAAAAAGAGCCAGGGACCTTACAGGAGTTTTTTTATACGAAAGATCCTGTTAAATGCCAGTGGAATTCTCGAATGCCCTATCGACAGAAGGGTTCGAAAACACTTCTATCTGTGTTTTCTGCTCAGTCGTTCTATAGACTTTGACAACTGCTGTCTGATCTTCGTAACTAACGAGGACTGCATTACGTCGGGAAGTCGTTCTCTCTCGCCGAACCCCATTTGCTCAGACATGGAAAAGATCCGTCAGTAGCTTAAGAAAAGTCCAAAAAACAAAGCAATTTATGGACAGAAAGAGAATGAATAAATAATTGTTTAATGCATCATGAGTTCTATAGAAAACACGTCCGCATGCCTCTCAAATAAATTACAATTTAAAGGAAGGTGCGTCGTTCTCATTTCAAACGTCAAGTCGACCCTGGATGGATACAGCTGAAGACGGTATGTCCGTCACCACTGGATGCAAAAAGGTAATCTAAAACTTGAAGTGATGAGGTTCTGCCAACATCTTTGATGTGAAGTCTGAATAGATCCTCCAATTGATTTCCCGGCTGTCTTAGCGAATACACGTCATGGAGGTGGCTGAATCAACAGCTGTCCAATGAAATCAACCATCTCACCTCGCACAGGCCTTAGTGTTTACCGCGGTGTGATTTACGCCCAACAAGCGTCCTCATAGTTCACTGCTTGTGACAGCTGCTTTTCTCTCTTCTTAACTTTCCTCACACTGACATATCTAAGAACCTACGGTGTCTTTGTGGGCTATCCGGTAACGTGTCGTACGCACAAGAAACGTAATCCGCTGCGACGGAGTGAAAATCAGGAGAAACAGCGACTGCTTCTTCACGCGGGCTATAGAAATGTGAAATCAGAGCGGCGAGAAGACTTCTGTCCTGGCATGGACCTTTCAACTTCATGTCGAGTACTCTAACCGCCCGAGCTAGTGAGAATGCGTCAGTTTCGCACCCCGCAGACTTTAAAGCGACCAGAAGTAAGAGCCATATCAAGCGGCCTATTTCAATACATAAGGTCCCGAAAATCGAATCGTCTGTGTAAGAGTAATGATCTTTCTACAAAACGATTGTCATCCGTCCATCAAAAGGTTGAGTTTTAAGAAAGGCGAAAAAGAACTGGCCTGTGTGATCCAACTCTTAGTCCATAATGGATAGTTAATTCATTCGTCTAAGGCCAAAAGACTTTCCTAACGTCACTTCATGTTGCAGAACAGCTTCCGCTAACAGAACATGAACTTTAGTGCCATAATTATGGAAATAAGAGTTCCGAATATGGAAAAATAAGACCTGACATTGTCATCTAAACAGCGAAGCCAATTTTAAACCTTCACACAACCTTTCGAGAAGTTAGCAAAAACTCGTTCGGACTTTTGTTTTGATGTTTGCTGTCGTAATCTTGGTTTAATATAATTTACTTGAGGAGAAAATAAACATGCGTCTTTGAAACCCAAGATCGCACAATGAGTGTACTATGCTACTCACTACTGTCCGGCTTTAGTTTTTACTCTTTCTCCTAAGCAGTCGATAAGCCAGAGGCTTCCTCCCCTCCCCAATCTACAGCAGTCAGATGGTTATGGCATTGGAACATTGAGCCTTCAAAAGACAGTCCCCAGAGGAAATATAGTTACTGAGGAATCCCAGGATATTTATTACTGACTATCTGCCGCCACAGAGAAAATTATGTATAACAGCCCTACGGGAAAGGACAAGAGAGATTGGAATGACCGTTTCTGGCCTATCAACCGTCATTAGCCAGTCATGCCCAACTCCAGGTCTCACCAACCCTGGGACTCTTTCCCATGACCTGCTGATTAGGGTGGAATTTTTCAGTAGGCCTAAACATTCGGATCAGGGATTCTCCCCTTGATTCAGAGGAATGCGGCGCTTTGGACGGTCGAAACACTGTAGCGTCGACAAAACATGGCATGTACTCGTGAAGTCTCATCGTGCATCAAAAGTCACCGCGACAAGGCTAGCAATTCTGCGCATAAACAACGGGTAGAGACTAGGTAACTCGAATCCACGCCGTTCACAACTCTCACACCCCCGTAGGTGGGGGGGGGGGGGTAGGTGGCGTTTAAGGTGGATGTGTCAGTTCGCGGAATTTGCATAGAATACGCAGCAACCTTGTGCACACATCCAGACTGGCAGCCCGTCTGGGGACAGTTCTTATGCATACAGAGGCGGCACCTTGGTTCATGGAGAGGTGCATGACAGGTCGTGCACAAACACACACACACACAGTAAACCATCCGTACACAGAAACTGAATCACAGAGTAGACACTGTCACCACTATGTCCACTGTTTCTCTTCTTATGATGTTATGAGTGGGTAAAACTCCATAACGCCATCCCCCTCCTGCCTGCGTTCTTGTACTGGGTGACAAAGAATAGGGTTTCGCTTTGAAGGAAACAATTCCCAGCGAAAAAACTGTCCATGGAACATGGTTTGACAGAAACAGAGATACATCTATGCTTGGTTCTCCAAAGATAAATAAGCTCAGATGATTTAGTTACTTCTAAGGCGTGGAGATCAGATCATTTAACGGCGCCATTATTTTCTAGGAATCTGCATAAAAGAATGGAATCCCATGTCAACAACCACACATCTGTGGGTAGATAGAAATAGGGGAAGTTATACGATTAGGCACTGCGTACACATTTTTCCAAAAATTCTGAATGGCAATCTGCGATCATATCAGAGAACATATTAGCAACTAAGAAAGATTGTCAGTCATCGAATTAATTCTAGTGGCGCTTTTTGAAACCAAATTGAGCAGTAACATTACTTGGGCAACCATGTCGTCGGCAGAGTTTCCATAAATTTGTCCAAATAAATCATTCAGTAGTCTGGATTAAATAAACACTTTGTTTTTGCCTAATAAAAGGGTATATGCCTTGAAATGTCCGTGAACCGTCTGAAGAGTTATCACCAAAACTATTTGTTTTTTCTCTTTTGCCCCAATGAGGGTATAACACATAGCTCAGTAGACAATAAAAAACGCCGGCGTTCTTTTAATCTATTATTTATTCCTACGTAAATGTTTGCGGCTCAGATTAAGAACTCAGAAGCGATCGTGAGATGAAGAGCTGTTGGAACAGCCTTCATTTTGTATACTATTTAAACGGCAATTTTTTATTTGTTAAATCATCGTGAGTTATCTTTCTTTGCGAAATCTGAACACTGCCACTGTTCGCTCGGATTCACAAAGGTCCTTTTGCAAAGGGATCAAAATTTTCCGGTAGGTCAGTGATTTGCTACAAGAAAATGCGCTTCAAATACGATTAACCTGTTACTCCGCTGCTTAGACAGAATGCAATAAATAGTGATTTTTTTTTCAGATGAAACAGTGCGTCTAAATAAAGAAGGCAGTCTAGTTATGCAGTCAGCACAAATGATGCCAAGTAAACCTCAGATATTTTCATTAAGGAGGGACATTGATCTACTCAGATGTTGCGAAGTCCCTAATGGTCTTGAGGACTTTGCCCTTGAGGACTTGGTTCTCCTTGTTTAAGCCTTTCTATTAAAGATTTTATAGGCAGCGGTAGGTTCTGTAACCCCGCCTCTCAACTAAATTTAACTCCTATTGTTGCTCATGTGAGGGACTATGCACAAGTATTCTTGAAGAAATAAATAAGTCGGGCGTACGCGTTCGAAGTCAGAAACCGCTCAGAGATATTGAGGAAGCAGATTGTCTGTATTATAACCAAGGCAAAGAAAACCAAAAGGCAACCGACACTCTTTGCGGAACGCATGAGTGAGTAGCAACATGGCACAAAGAGGTTTAACTACTCTTCGGGAAGAAATAAGTAAGTCACGGCGTGCGGAATCGAAAACCAAAAGCAATACAAGCACATTGAGATAACTATGTAATCAAGATAAGACAAAGGGATTGCGAGGAGAGAGAGAGAGAGCCAAAGTATCACGCTAAATAATTTATCATTAAAAGTCGTACTGAAAGAGCTCGCTGCATGTCGTTATATCAGAGTGTTAGTTGATACACAAGGGTGACTTTCTGTAGCTATGGGCTAATAAAACAAACAAGGCCTTCCAAAAAAAATATAGCAGTTACCTATGCGCGCTAAACCAAGTGGGCTTCCACAACCTATCCTTACCCTTTTACAAAATGAAACCATAAACAGGCAAGCTCATGACACTGCTGCTAGTGAGAGCACAGGAAGATCAGTACACAGTGGTGTTGGGAAAACCAGATCAAAAAAGGAGACGGCTACTACAAAAAAATCTGGAATTTAGAAACATTTCACCAAAAAGAAAAAGTAGGATCGAGGCGGTAACTTGGATAAGGATGGCAGTTCTTACACCCAGGGCACTTCAAACGGAGGAAACAATTTTAGGTAAAAATAATTTTTCGATAGCCGTTGCAGCCTCTGATAAAACCGGTTAGTTGAAAAAGACTTCTGTGTGTTTCAAGATAGCCTTATTACAGTTCCGTCTATTCAGTCTGCAAAGTATACTAGCCTTTTTGAAGTGGGGCAAGGTCTTTTGTGCAGCAAATTCACAAAAAATTTATTCATGACCATGCTGCTCATGCTGCCAGCCTCTCTGCCTAAAATTATTCTTGTAGCGCCATTCGCGTCAAGTATGCCAGTAAGTGACTTTGATGTCACAAGAGTAAGTTTTGATCAATTTTTTGGCAGCGTTGCTCATCTTCTGGAGTGGTCCAGGTAGATATCCATTCTGTCTCATTTGTTTGCACAGAAGGGTGCGAAAAACTTTTCGCTGGATGTTCCGTAGAACCTAGGCGATCCATGCTCCAAGGAAGTTACACAATCAGCGCCCTTTTGTTTAAGGAAGTGAGTGAAGTAGAAGTTTATGCGTCGTCCACTATCTACTGCACTTTTGACAGACAACAGCGTGGAAGAGCAATCCACAGATTGTAAAGCTACCATAAACCAACCAGGGGGTAATAACGTATTCAGCTGCGTCTCGTTGGGCGAATTTGCGAGTATCCTCAGTGTGCTTGAAACCCTACTGGATAGAGCTTGACCGTCACGGCGGAGGCATCACTTAAACAGCGTCATGAGATTTTAGGTTTACGGCTCCCTGAACAGGACATAAGAACAGGAACAGCCTGGAATGCCAGTGACTCTAGGCCAACTTCCAGTGAAATTTAGGTTAGGTTTGGGATTAAGCTAGAGACTTGATTTAAATTTACCGGTACGTAAATCAAAATCAAGTTAAGGGTTAAGTTGGGGGTTAGCGGTAGCTGCAGACTTGGGGTTTATGGTAGGGCGAGGGCCAAGGTAAGGGTTATTGTTGGAGTTTGGACATGGGAATATCTGCCCTTTCCGGAGTTATATGCAAGTCAATCTTTATTACTTGGGCGGAGGTACCTAGTCCCATGTCCTGGTTGGGGACTGGCATAAGTCTTTTCTGTCTCACATTCTTTCATGAAGGTATTAAAGGTTAAGGAGAACAGTCATAATATAATGGGTTAACATTCTCTCTATACATGGATGCTATCTCTGGGGACAAATATCGTTGAGTTTAGACAAAGTCTACAGACTTCAGCTAGTTTTCTTTTGCCTAGTTAACCTTTTGTTGCGCATTCAGAGGGGAAATCTAGTAAGGCTAGATAAATCTATCGCTTTCAGAAAGACCTACTGGACCTTTACCAGTGAATTTATATACACAGTGGCCTTCAGAATAACCCATGAAGTTGACATGACGCTGGTTCTCCTTCAAAAATTCATATCCCCATCTTGCACTGGAAAATGGTTGTATAGATACTATGCATAGATTGCTCATTCTTCGCTAAACAGACTAAAAATGTCCCAGTATTGAATACTTGGCAACGGTAGGGTGGACGACCCCTATTGGCTGTCGGTAGATTGATGATCATGTGCTAATGTATGTACTTGCGAAATCTAATTAGTTGCTGATTACTGGGAGTTGTACCCAAGGGCGGAGGAATTAAATAAGATCGGCTGAGCATAAATTTAGGGGTAACAAAAATCCCTGTCAGAGGATAGACTCATTTGTTTGATGGTAAGACACTTCTTCAAGATGGAACACCATAGAATATCCAGCTGGATACCGTATCCGCAACCATTCGTCGCTTTATTCCGAAGTATCGTTCTTGCCCCTGACTGTCTTCTGCGGTTTCCTGCCTTCCACCGTGCTGCTTCAACCGTAAAAACCCACTATCATCTTAATTCTCGTACGACACGATCTCCAGTTTACTGACAGCCAATTGGGGTCCTTCGTCCTACCGCTGCCGAGTACTTTGCTCCGTCCAAGTGGATCCGTACTTATATCCAGGGAAACCTAACTTCAGTACTATGACACCTAACATGTTTCTCCCGCAACACGTATCATCAGTTCGCCATTTTTATCTGTTACTTACCTATCTAAATAAACCGATGAAATGATTAGGATGGGCGAGATTTATTGACGCTTCTAAATTGTCCAAATGCACAGGGGGTAGTGACGTTCGAGTTAGACTACTTTAAGCAGAGTTGGGATCCGTACCAGCGATAAAAAGGAGATATTTCTTATCTGATAGTCTATGCAGGCTCTACAAATTAGGTTGCAAACACTTTACTGTAGGTTTGTTTAGGAGTTTTGGACGAATTTATAAAAGCGCATTTCACCACCGCGTTGGTAGCCAGCAGCATAAAAGGGAATGTCAAAAAGCTCGCTGATGATCGACCAGATTGCAATTGCTTAGTGCATGGTTGAACGCTTGTTTGTGAATTAGCTTGAGCCTATGTTTGAGACATACAAACGTAAATGTTTCCAATTAATAGATAAGGGTCAGTCGCCGATCCAGAGACGTTTCCAAATGAAAAATAGGCGAGGTCGAACATGCTAAAGTTGCTCGAAAGCGCAGGTAACGGCCAAACTCTGGGTAAACTGAATTTTAACTCTTTCTCTCCGAGGTTTTTCAAACGTTGCATCTTGAAACGTCAGAATTGAATTCAAAAATACAGAGTCCGCAAAAACAATCAGACTAAAGTTTTTGACAAAGCCAAAGTAACCTTGTGTGTGCCCTTAAGAAGACCCTGTTGAGGCATGACCGGATCTCACGAATAGAAACTAAAACGGAGACAAATTCAATTGAGAGAGGCAAAAAGACATCCGCGGAGCTTAAATTCAGACTTCTGTGCGTACTGAAAAGGCTGTAAAAGAATGCAACGTTCGGTTTTGTTTCCATTTAAACTTCTTTGCTTGCAGATTTGGCTTTTCGGTCAAATGTCATTGACTCACACCTACTTGATGTATGATTCGTGTGCCTTGGACTATGAATACGCTCTCGATTGCTTGTTATTTCCAAATACCATTCTGAATAATCTAAATGACCCCGTGAAAGAGTCGAATACTTTCAAATTACGCACGGTGGAGCTTTTAAACTGGGCTGCTATATCCCCTCTCATTTATACAGGCTCAGTTTCCGAATTTTATACTTGTAGGAATCCAACCACTTCTTTTAATTAAATGAATTAGGTTCATCATATATTAATGCTTGTTGACGACACCCGGTAGGCAAATAAATCCACACTTTTCCGATGGCGATTTTGATTTGCGTTAATCGCTAGGGTAACCAACCAGGAGAGTGGCGTTTTTACATGCGCATTTGTCAGTTATCCGCTAAGGATCTTCGCTGACCAAAAAGTAAATGTCGTCCCTCTCACGCCTCCCAGAAAGGATGGTTCTATCAACGACCGTCGTCTCTCAGCTCCATGTGACTTCAAGACCACTACGACTGGTTCGAAAAGGTGTCGAATAGGTTCTCAAATCTTGCGACGGGCCGCAGCTTTCTAACACAGCAATCAGAGCTCAAATTCGACGCTAACAATCTGTAATATCGTCGCTGCAGTGCAACGAACTAGTGAGTTCCGTGAACGGTGGACGCAAAACCACCTGCCTCTGCTTATGCCTCGTTGACCTACTGATCATCAGATTTGGAAAGTGAATAGACAAAATTCCGTGAAAGAATCTGACAGGAGGAGAGAGGAAGATATAAACAGTGACAGGGCTAAGCCTGCGTTAGAACTCCAACGTTTGTGGTTGGCTGTCATCGCGTCTCACAAGAAGATCGTGGCGCCTGTCGAGAAAAACAACCGCGCCACAGACGTCACGGTGGCAGGCAATCAATGGGCCGCGTCGGCATCGAGTCCTTCTCTGTTTTTCTGGCTAGCAGGCAAGATGCAAATTCGAAGCAAGTCGCGCGGGGTCTGAGGTCATCGACGGCAACACTGTGGCCCAGAGCCCAGGGCAGCACTTCGAGACACCAAACACACACACACACACTCACGCTGCCTAATGCAAAAAACGCGCGTTAAGGCTGCTCGCATAGACTGTGAGGAATAAATTAGGGCTCTGCTAATGCATTGATACGGCTGCCGCGAGGATGTGGGTGATTACGAGAGGCAGGAAGACTGCCGATTCTTGACGGTTTCTGAGGGATTCTTTCGGGGGAAACTGGTGGGGCAGCCCTTTATCGAACTGAGGAATTATCTCTTAGCTTAAAATTGGCATCAAGGCAGCCCTAGGGCATACATCACTGACAACATATCAGAAAGTAATTTCACCAGGTTTATGATCCCTCATCCAGTCAACAACGTTCGTATATTTTACTTAAACGTTAGCAAACAAGTACACCTTACTAGCTTATTCTGGTACTGGCTACAAGCGTGGAGTAGGGCCGGGCAGTGGAGAGACCGGTAATGAGGGAGAAAACTGTGTTCGGGAGCAGTTGTGCCAGTAACGGTAGGGCGAAGGACCCCGATCAGCTGTCGGCATACTGTGGATCATGTCATACGAGAACGTTGGTAATTGGGTGTGGGCTTACGGGCGGACCAGTACACCGGACAGTAAGCTGACGGAATGTACAGTGAGCGACCAATGTCATGAAATGCTGGCCAAAATTCCGAAAAGCTTTTTCGATTAGGAAGGATGACATAGGTGGGGTTCTAATACTGATTTTATTGCGGCATAGCCCCATACTATCTCGGACTCAGCAGGATGTCTGCTTCTGAATATACTGCTTTTAAATTTTATACAGAAAGCATACTCGGTAAAATGACTACTTAGTTAGCATACATTTTGTGCATTAATTTTCGATGGTCCTATAAATTATAATATATTTTATAGAAGATTTGATGTAAATTCACGTCAAGTCCATATTTTATACTCGAAGAAGGAGTACAAGTAGGTTTTGATAAAGTTTATAAGGATGGGATTTTGAGACCGTGCACTCTCCATTCTCACAGCATCGTAATTGTCCGTTTACCACTGTTCCTCATGAAATGTACAACACAGTCCGAGTCCGTTGCAAAATTTTATGAAGTCTATATAGTATCATCTTAAGGGCATAGAGGAATATATGATTTTCCTTACGGGGTACGCATGCACTTTGAAGACTGAAATCACTAGGCGCTAATGCAACGGCTGACCAGACTCCAAATTATCCGGGAATTAGAAAACGTAAAACCTAAATATACTCTTTCTTCGAGTAAAAATATAACTTTGATGTGATTCTCTATCAAATGAGTGAAAGGAAGGATACCTGCGTGCATATCTTCTGTAAAATATATTTGAATTTACACAACCCTCGAAAATTCAATGTGAAAAATGCATGCCACTTAAGTGGTCACTTTTTAACAAGTACGGTTTCTACAGAAGCTTGGAAAGCAGTGTATTCAAAAGCAGACATCGTGCTGCGTCCGAGATATTATAGGATTACGCCGCAATATAATCAGCATTACAACCCCACCTAAGTAATCCTTCCTAATCGAAAACGCATTTCAGAATTTTGGCCAGCATTTAATGAGATCGGTCGCACACTGTAGGCAAACAGAGAAGACAGTCGATTACAGAGATGATGCTTTCGAGTTAAGTAACGAACGTACGCAGATACGGTATCCAGCTGGGTGTTCAATGGCGTTCCATTTTAAATGGGTGCCTCACAATCGAACAACTGAGCCTACCCTCCCGGCTGACATTTCTCTCATCTCCTAATCCATGTTTCGTTGATCACCATTTTTTGCTTCTCTGCTCTTGGATACAAATGCCAGTCATCAGTACTTAGCTAGATTTCGTGAGTGCCTTCATCAGCATAGGATCCACAGTCTAACGGACAGCTAATTGTGGCCCTTAACCCTATCGTTGCTTTTGTTGTTGCCCGTAGCACCGCAACCCCCCCTCCCCATCTTCACCCGTTCAGTGCAGCACTCTTTATGTGCCCTTACTGGTCGAGGTTAATCAACAGTGACCCTCGCTGGCTCCCGAGTAGTCGCGCAAAGTATATGTCGGTTTTCTACGGATGCCGAATTTTTGCCTACATAAATGCTCAAAGATATGTCAGTAAGGTGCACGCACTCGAATTTCCCGCCCAACACACTTGAGGAAATTGCCGCTTGGACAGAAAGTAGAGTGCTGTTATCATTTTGATGTAGGATCTGCTGAATAAAGTTTGTAAACGGCAGGTCCCGCAATTTCATCTGCGGTCGTTAGCGTTATGCTGCGCCGATAGATAAATTCCTGGCAAAACAAGCTTTGAAGAAGCCCACTTTTGCCCGTCCGCGAAAACCATAGATTGGGAGAGGTGGCTACTTAAGTAGCATGACTTCTCACCGATGATTTTTGATGTCCTCATAAAATCAAGGGAATTATTTAGAAAACAAGCATAGAAGTGTCCCAGCTTGTTTTCCTTAAGCAGAAAATTACGTCTTCTTCAAATGCCTTACAGGAGAAATAGAGCGTCTTTTGTTTTAAGGCTTCCAATTATAAGTTTTCTAAGACCGTGAAACGTCTACTCAGGGAACATTGCATCAACACGCTTAATATTTCCAATTAAAAAGTAAACGGCATGGTCCGCATCTTTAGAAAAAGTATATGAGCTTTTATGACATATTTTCAGTAGCATAAGGAGATGTACTATTCGTTTTCCGTGGACAGCGTACAGCTGGTGGACTGCAAACTCTGAACCCCAAAATAACAACAGGTCGGGCTCAAAATTATTCCGGAATTAAGACTCTCGAAAAAACGAAAACTAGTGTTTCTTCAAGTAGAAAACGTACAGAGGACACGTTTTTCCACCAAATAAATGCCAGAAAGAACAGGTTTGTGCTAATTCTCTGTAAATGTAGTCGAATTTGGGAAAGCATCAAAAGTCAGTGGAAAATATTCGCGCAACTTAAGCGATCATTTTTTTACAGAATACTGTTGTCACATACGGTCGCAAATAAGCTAGTTCAAAAGTAAATTATTGACGTCTGATTTGGCGGATTAATTGCGGAAGTATCTCAACTAAGTCATCCCTCAAGTGCTACATCTTGTGGACATCACATACAGTAGATGTGCTTACTAATGAAATGTCAACAAAAATTTCGAAATGCGTTCTCGTTTCGAGAAGATAAATTAAGTAGTGTTGTAAAACCAATCATGATGCAGCATAAATATATAATGATCCAGTTACCTCGGGGTGTCGGCTTTCGAAAGAACTTATTTTCGGCTGCATGCAAGATCTATACTCTGCAAAAAATGACTACTTATGTATTACGACATTTCTCATTGATTTTCGATGCCCTCGAAAATTCAATTATATTTCATGGAAAACATGCATAAAAATATTCATTCTTTTACTTATTCGGTAGAAAATCACGTCTTCTTCTAATTTCAAACTCAAAAGAAAAGTATAATTCGGTTTTTAAAAAGTTTCTAATTGTGAGATGCACATGCATCATGCACAATTCCAGTCATGCTTTTTGCTCAAATATTGCAGCACCCAGTCTCAGCTGGATCCCAAACAAAAGATGATAACGATACGTTGCAAAACTATCATCTTCCCACGCACTAGTCCTGAGAGTCCGCCGAAGAACACAGAATCCGCGCGGCCGGATCCCTCATACTTAGATGGGAATTAAAAGGTGTGAGAGCAGCTAGTGATCCCGCCGTTGATAGCTTGCCCCTTTGGTAGTGAACATAAATGTAGAGTCAAAATCATTTTAAAGACCCCGGAACTGAACCAGCCAGTGACTACCCACCTAGAGGTTCGCGGAGAGGTAGTACTGTGAGCACCAGCTGATATTGGTAGGAGGATTTTGAAAGTAGTATCGTCATTAAGACTTGCGGTTTGAGCACATTCATACTGATATAAACGTCAGAATTGATAAGCCATCTGTAGCCTTGCAGTATCTAACTAGGGTCAGGATTAAAGCTACTCAAGTAATCCTAAGTGGCCACTCCACGATTGCGTTTAGAAAGAGCACCCTACTTTGACCACAGATTTCGCGGTTTCATCAATTGACTAGTCTTTTTGAAACCCAGTATTCAACTTGTACGCCAGGCGGTTTGCAACGTGATATTCCATAGGTCCAGTGTTACAGAGATTAGATCTTTTGTAATACTGCTAAGCGAAGTTCCTATACCCTCGGAGCAGCAAGCAATCTGCCCTCAAACAGTGGCGCAGAGACTTATGCTTTTTCAATAAGCGGTTGCTGATTACGTAAGGCCTTTGATGAAGATTTGTGTAGCATGAAGATATGTCCACTGTTTAGGCTATCATTGTGAGACTAGAGGTAGTTCTACAGACAGAGGTTACTGCCTCATCAGGTGGCCCTTCTGATTAAAGAGTTTTGAATCAGGGCAGTGAAATGCACTTGGTGCCAAATCACTTATTCGCTGACCAGCAGCTCCCTTGAATATGCAGTGGACTGGGCTACAAGTTTACTCCTACAAGTTTACTCACTTGATAAGAAATATGACTATCTACGGGCGGCGGGGACATCCACCTGCGCAGAATTCACCCACCCCCAGTCCTGAGGCTCCAGCTACTGAGTGAAGACTTTCGATGAGATAAATGAACTAGCGGCTGGCGCACGATATCGCTCCGTCTTGTGTGAAACGATCGCGTGCTGGTTCCTTACAGCGTACGACCCAGACTTCGCATATTTTGATTTTCGCATCGGTACGAGTTTCCCTAGGGTAATCATCACAGCCTAGCTGGAGGTCTCTGAGGCGGACTTATAGACGATAATCTGTACTGAACAGACAGTAACCTAGCCGCCTGTGACTAGGACTTTTGTAGGTGAGAGTTATGCAGGATCACACATGGTGCCATAAAGAACTCCCTCTCTCCCATCATATTCCAGCAAAAAGACTACTTCAAGTTCTATTGCGATGATACTGAACGCACTGGTTGATTTGACACATTCTCAGATGATGAGTATCGTAACACGAGGATGGTTCCAGTTCACAAGCAGACATGACATCTATAGGTTAACAACACCGTCGACTCCTAGTCGTATGAAACTTTGTCCAGTTTGTGAGACTGCGTAAAGGGTGTTTGATGGAAGAACATTTAATATCTCTCTCTACTGTATTTTCTCTATTTTTTCAGGGGCCTTCCTATTTCATTAAGAAGGAAAAGCGCTATTTGTACAATATGAAGTCACATATACTAGTGTACACAGGGAAAGGGTATGCAAATTACATACATGTCCTCCACTACGAGTATGAGTAGTAAACCGCATATGTGAGAAAAGTCGATGATGCAGTTTTATAGTTCGTGGGTCAAAGTGTCTAAGCAAATCGTCGGCATGTGAATATTGCGGCAGGTTATTACTTTATTCGGATTATTACTCGCTTCCTGCGTCCAGCCCGCAGGTTAATGGCTGTGTATAATTAGATTACAGAAATACCCAGCGTTTGTATCTGTAATTGAACTCTGTGCAAACTGCTCCGTCAGGTTAAAAACAGACTGCAGAACTCTAACCGGATGTTTTGCTGAACTGGGACTTTTAACTGTGAATATAACTTTCGAGTACTCCGAGAGGTTGGATGTCATTGTATGCTACGAAGCATGAGACAGAAATGTTGTGCGGGTTTACAATGGGTCACATCAGAACTTACTGAGATGTTTGGATCAACTTTACGACTGAGACTGGAATATTGCTGGACCTCCTCCCTTCCCTCCGTCACCCCACCGGGTGGAGCTGTTGAGTAAACAGTATATTCAGCTCCTCGGAACTGCACCCCTGCAGTGTGCTTCTTCGGTTTACGATGTAGGTATCGTCCTCCGGGCGTAACATATCGTGTTGGAGTAGAGCTGGACTGACTGGGTGACTTGTGGTGTTTTGTGTGCGGTAGGACCCAGTAGCCACTTGGTTCCTCGATTCGATTAGCCCGATGACGGCGTTGTTGGCTCTCCACTGAGATACCACTCAAAGTGCCGTTCGAGGCCTGTGCAAAGTCTGATGGATAAGAAGACGCCATCATGGGCTGCTGTTTCATCGAACCCTCCATGTAGTAGACTCCATCCCTTTCGTCGTTTCCTGCTATGTTGGCATACGTACCGAAGTCACTGGTAGGCGGGTAGGCGTACAAATCAGGCCGCTGTCCAATGTCTTCCCTGGATGGGTTCCGTTGCATAATGGAGTAGGAGAGCGTGGGAAGTTCTGGCGCTCTAACGCCACTGGTGTAAAAGTATATCTGTGTTCGTGTTGACGGCGGGGCTGGTTCCATCTTTCAAACGTGGTGGTGGCGGTGGTGCTAGCGGCGGCGGCAGCGTGGGCAGCAGCTGTAAAACGACGACTCACAGGGGTACACGTCAACGCAGAAGACCTGCTGCTGTTGTTGCTCCTATTGATCCGACGACAAGCAGGCGTGTAATGCGGATGCGACACACTGGCGAAATGATGGCTCGTCAGAACTGTGCGCTCAAGCGCGCACTCGAGCACGCACTTTGCGAGAGCAGGCGCGCCTACTAAGCCCCCCTTTGTCTCTGATTGGTCAGATTCGCACCTACACCTGGAGTAGGCGCGCTTGCACCCAAAAAGACCACATCCATCCTGCCACTCCCTTGCCGTTCAACGCCCGGTGAAGTTTGGGTTGCAAAGAACAGGCCAAATGGCTGCTCCGGGAACTTTGTTTTATGACGCCGTGGACCTCGAAGATAAATGACAATTTTTCATTCAGGACTGACCAATCCTGGGCATTGCGGTGGATTGTGCAAAACTCGACCCGACTATCTTTTTAATGGAACAGAAGTAATGTTGGAGGGATATGTCCACTGACTATAGCCAAATTTCATCCTAAGAGCAGCAAATCTTGGACTAGTTGGGGAAAAGAGAGATTTTGTAAGAGCGTAATGTATGCAGTAGGATGTTGCCCCCAGGTGTGCGGCCGATAGACGAAACGCTTACAGTGGTGAGCTGATCAAATTGTCCTCTTAAAAGTCAAACAAACAGTGGCACTTCCAACAAATACCTGTCGAAGGTTTTGAAGAAGGAGACATGATAGCTGGGACAAGAGCTTTATTAGCCTGACGTTTCGGATTCCTGCTCGAATCCATCACGAGAGGCAATAGCAGATGCGGGTGATTTATGCAGAAGGGGCTACATTATTTATAGGATGCAGTAGCCATGCTACCGCATTCCAATGAATATTCAATGCTCTCCCCCGTCATCGGGGATCGTTGCCCATGGTGTGATAGCCGACATTCACGTCGTTAATTGCTGCAATTCCATCACGTGCGTTGGAAGTTGGTGTGATGATTGCTCGACCATCCGACGCACCGACCCTGGCGTTGGGAAGAGTGCTCGCCTGTGCTCTCCCCGTGTGGCTAATTATTCCGGCTAAGCAAAGTCTCAGCACTGAGTATGGAAGGGGAAGGTCGTTGAACTTGTTACTGGACTAGGAGTCAGTGAACCAAGTGCAACGAACTTCCCATTCCACACTAGGTGTTGAGACTTCGCCTAGCCGGAGTAATTAGCCATGCGGGGAGCGCACAGGTGAACACTCCAACACCAGGGTCGGTGCGTCGGATGGTCAAGTAATCATCACACCAACTTCCAACGTACGTGATGAAATTGCAGCAATTAACGACGCGAATGTCGGCTATCACACCACATGCAACGATCCCTGATGACGGGGAGAGTCGTGAATATTCATAGGAATGCGGTAACATGGCGACTGCATCGTATAAATACTGCAACCCCTTGTGCATGAACCACCCGTATCTGTTTTTGTTTCTGATGATGGGTTCAAGCATGAATCCGAAAAGTCAAGCTAATGATGTTCTTGTCCCAGCGATCGTGTCTCCTTCTTCACGAATGCTTCCTGGACTCGTCTCTTCGCTTCTGTTAGCTGACAGATTGCCGTTCAAGTTCAGGATCCCTAGCATCATGCCCCGGAGCAAAATAGATCTGTTCATGCCTAAGCCTAAATTGCTTTAACCTAGCGTTACTCTCCGTCAGTTGTGGGAAGGCCCTTTTTCCTGGGACCATCTTTGAATTTGCAACGAGTAAATATGTAACTGCGGCGTCTTTTATTTGTTTTCTGCTTTATTTCTGCCATTTATAATTGACTGATTGATTACAAAACTGAGCTGGAGCGGACACCCAGCCAACGTAAACCTATAACAGTTAAACCACCAGATAGTTGGCGTCACTTTTGGAGGGGGAAACACCGAGAAGGATAAGTTTATTTTCCCTCACAGGGCAGAAATCCCTTTTCTTAGCTAAAAGACCATATCGATGGCTGAATAGAAATTCACGATAAGGGTCGAGCTGCAAAAAATTGGTCCAAAATACAAGAGATCCGGCGAAAATCGACGAAGATGATCGCACCTTACATTGTCTACTAATTTTCGGGGCAACCATCAGTCCCGCTGCGTACGACAGTTTCTGCCTTAAGTAATGTGCGTTTTTTTAAACGATAGCTAAATGGACACTGTTTGTTTTGACTCTCGCGCCCTCCCGACCGAGGTTAACCAATAAATGAGTAAAAGTCCAAGTCTTGTTGCTGGGGAGGGGGGGGTGGCTTGTAACTTGAGTGCGCATACGCAATTACTCCGCCATTACCACACTAGCATTCATCACGGCTCAGATGAGCCACTTCTGGTCTGCTTACGAGGGCCTAGCAGTTGCACGAGTGAGTCACGGCGATATGTTTTTGAGAGAGAGTGAGGAACGGAATTCCAAGTGTGACTGAAAGAGCGTAGTCAGAGTAGCGTCAGGTGGGCGACGGAAGTTGTCCACTCATGTAGATGCCTGCGTTTTTGAGACTGTAGACTAATTACACACTGATTTAGGTGTGAATATACTAGCATAGTCTCATGTAGAACGGCGTTCTCAATTGCACTTTTAAGAGTGACGCACGTAAAAACCAGTCCTGCGGTAAGTGATGCGTCATTAAATCACGATTTTAAATTGACAGCCTTCCGGGATAATTTAACGCGGAGCAATCACTGTATAATTCATGTATTTGTTCCGATAAGTTTTCCTCGAGTGGGTAAGAAAAGGGCCTTTTCTCTGATGGTTCCACATAAATCTGTGTGTTGAAAAAGGTTTTATTTAAGAAACATATTTGCTTTGAAATTTAATGCAATCCAACAAAATCCTGCGGTAGATGAAACAGGAGTGTTAAGATCAGATCCGGGAAATGGTGCCCTAGAGTGACGACATACTAGTTTGGAAACACTTTAAACGAATATTCGACGAGAACACCTTCATATGTACTTTATTAGCTTTTTTACAGTAACACCACCAATGCAAAGGATTGGGACAGATCAGGAACTACGCTAGATTGTGTTAGGGAATTCGCGAACTATGCAGGATATGCTGCAACACGTATATTTACGTGAGACGCGTTTTTAGAAAAGTAAATATAACAATTTTCTTTACTGCTCCTTGCAAAACATTTCTTCCTACAAAGGTTTTTTTCCTGGAAAGTGATATTTTCGAAGTCCCTTTCAAGGTGCATGGATGAATCCACATCTTTCAAGTTAAAATTGCAAAAAGCTGACCAGATTAGTAGGATTAATCTCTCGGAGAAACCGAAATCAATGAACTGATGACGTTCAGGTATGAAATCAGTTTGCGATGGTGTTTGCAATTATTTTAAATAAATATCCCTTTTTCCGGCTATTAAGTCATATAATATAAACACTTCTAGTTAGAATTTCGATGTGAGTGCTAAGTGTAAATTCATGGCCCTTCATATAATTGACGAGGAAAGTAATTACATCAGCGATGGCATGGCGGCTGTTGACGGCCGAAAAGGGCACTTCTTGTTAATCTCTCTGAGACATACTCATACCGTGCAGTGAATCACCACTTATTACTGCTGTTATTTCATTTACCCCTTCCTGTTCCCCTCTTGCTTGCCCTCTTATTTTCCCACCTCATTCTTCCCATCATCTTTATTTTCTCGGCCGTTTTCGTCTTCCTTTGTGTTTTCTGCTTCTTTTTTCGTTTTTTTTTTTCAAAACTGACTATTTTCCTGAAATGTTACAGTGAGTGACCTATCTCATGAAATGTTGGCTGAAATTCTGAAATGCGTTTTCGATTAGGAAGGATTACTTGGTCGCGGTTGTAATACTGACTATCTTGCGGCATACTCTTATAACATTTCGGACTCGGCGGGATGTCGGTTTTCAAATGCACTGCCTTTCAATCTCCTGTAGAAAGCGTACTCTGTAAAAAATGACTACTTAAGTGGCATGCATTTTTCCCATTGATTTTCGATGGTCTTGGAAATTCAAATATATTTTATAGAAACCACAAACAAAAATGTGCTTTCTTTTAGTCACTCAACAGAGAATCATGTCTTCTTTATATTTTATACTTAGGGAAGGATTATAATTAGGTTTTAAAAAAGTTTCTAATTATAAGACTTTTTGAGACCAAGATATGTCCATTCACATAGCATCGTACCTGGCCGTTTACCACTGCTCCTCATGAAATGTACATTATAGTCCGCATCCATTGTAAAATTTTATGGACCCTGTATGATATCTCCTGAATGACATAGAAAAATATGGGATTTTCTTTACTCAGAACGCATGCACCTTGTAAAGTGTAATCTCTAAGCGCTAATGTAACGGATCGTCAGGCTCCAAATTTTTCGGCAATTAGGGAACTTTTTAAAAACCTAATTATACTCCTTTCTTAAGTATAAAATATAAAGAAGACGTGATTCTCTATTGATTGATTGAAAGAAAGCTTATTATTATTTGTGGTTTCTATAAAATATATTAGAATTTACAAGGCCATCGAAAATCAATGGGAAAAATGCATGCCACTTAAGTAGTCATTTTTCACCGAGTACGCTTTCTACAGGAGATTAAAAAGAAGTGCATTTAAAAGCCCACATCCTGCCGAGTCCGAAATGTTATAAACGTATGCCGCAAGATAATCAGTATTACAACCGCGACCAAGTAATCCTTCCTAATCGAAAACGCATTTCAGAATTTCAGCCAACATTTCATGAGATAGGTCACTCACTGTAGGTCAACATGGGCAAAAATATAAAATAAAATGTTCTTTCCGTAAGATAGAGAAATAGATGCCCTCCGTATGATGGGTGCTTCTGCGTTAAATGGCATGGAGCACTAGTCCCGTACCCTATTCTCCCTGGATTGTAGCTCACATCCACCCTTAGTACTGAGGGTACCTAATCCCCTGCCCTACAGCTCTTCCTTCAGACCTAATCGACTTGTGTAATTATCTACCGTACTAACA